TATTTAGACTATTTACATCTAAAGGGATTCTTCTTCTTCTTCTCCTTCTTCTTCTTCTTCTTCTCCTCCATCTTCTCCTTCTTCTTCTCCTCCTCCTTCTTCTTCCTCCTCCTCCTCCTCCTCCTCCACCCAGGGATTTTATTTATATAATACACACACACACACACACACACACATTTGAATACTTTGTCAGTTATTATTTTGAACAAATTTATCTATTAGATTAATGAAGAATAAGAAAAATATATTTTGAAAAAATTTTAGTTCCTGACCTATATAATTTTCCTTATGTCAGAATAACTTCTCAGCACTTCTTGCAAGGCAGGCCCACTGGTGACAAAATTCCTTCAATTTTTGTTTGAGAAAGTCTGTATTGTACTTCCCCCTCCCCACCTTTTTTTTTTTTTTTTTTTTTTAGGGGTGGCAGGTACCAGGGATTGAAATCAGGGGCACTCAGCCACTGAGCCACATCCCCAGCCCTATGTTGTATTTTGTTTAGAGACAGGGTCTCACTGAGTTGCTTAATGACTCACCATTGCTGAGGCTGGCTTTGGACTCACAATCCTCCTGCCTCAGCCTCCCAAGTCGCTGTGATCACAGGCGTGTCCTTCCCCTTTGCTTGTTAGGAATTTTACAGAGTACTGACTTCTAAGTTGGTGTTTTGTTTCTGTTTTGTTTTGTTTTGTTTTGTTTGTTTGTTTTTTCTCTCAACACTTTAAACCTTTCATTCAATTCTTGTGTGGTTACTGAGGAGAGGTCCATTGTAGTTCTTATCCTTGCTTCTCTATAGGTAAGGTATAGATAAGGTGTCCTTTGTCTCTAGCTTCTTAAAAGATAATTTTTCCTGTTCTTTGATTTTTTCAAGTTTGGCTATGACATGGCTTGGTGCAGATTTTTGTTACTGTTGTTTGATTGGTTTTGCATTTATCTTGCTTGATGTTCTTCCTGGATCTTGGTTTGATGTCTGACATTTTGACTAATTCTCAATCATTATTGTTTCAAGTATGCTTCTGTTCCTTTCCTTCCCTCTGGTAGTCCTCTCCCCTGTACGCTGCATCCTTTGTAGTTGTCCCACAGTTCTCCAATAGTCTGGTCTGGTATTTATTTATTTATTTTCCAGCCTTTTTCTCTTTGCTTTTTTAGTTTGGGAAGTTTATATTATTATCTCTTCAAGCTCAGAGATGCAGAGATTATTATTATCCTCAACTTCAGAGATTAGTGTCCATCTAAGGAGCACTTTAAAGACATATTCTCTCTCTCTCCCCTGCCCTTTTTTTTTGGGGGGGGGGTGTTGGGAATTGAACCCAAAGTCTCAGCATGAGCTCTACCTCTGAGCTACAACCCTTGGCTGACATTCTTCTAGCTTTTACTTTTTGGCAGGGGAGGGGTTCTGGGGATTGAACTCAGGGGCACTTGACCACTGAGCCACATCCCCAGCCCTATTTTGTATTTCATTTAAAAACAGCGCCTCACTGAGTTGCTTAGCACCTCCCTGTTGCTGAGGCTGGCTTTGAACTCGAGAGCCTCCTGCCTCAGCCTCCCAAACCACTGGGATTTCGGGCATATGCGCCACCACACCCAGCTTCTAGCATTGATTTTTGATTCTTCCTTAAAATTTCCATCTTTCTGTTTACATTATCCATCCACTTTATATGTTCTCTGTTTCTTTCATTAGAGCCACTAGCACATTAACCATAATTTGAGAACAAAAATTTCTGGTCTGGTAATCCTAGCATTATTGCCTTATCGGACTGTGGCTCTAATGCTTGTTCTATTTCTTCAAATGGTGTTTTTGTTTTTGTTGTTGTTGTTTTCAAATGGAGTTTTTAACCTTGTAGTATACCTTATAATTTTTAAAAAAGTGAACGTGATGTGTTGTGTGAAACAAACCGTGGTAGGTAGGGCTTTAGCACTGTAGGGCTGAGGTGTGGGGAGGGTGGGTTTCTACAGTACTATGACTGAGTCTCATTTTGCAAGGAACCCTGTCCCCTGGACTGCAGACTGCACTGGTTACTCAGCTTTTCTTTTCCTTTACAAGGGACAAGGTGGCTAATGGGAACTAGAGTTGGACTATCCCTTTCTCTGTGTGGAGCTGGGGAAAGTTGGAGCTGAGAGCTCCCTTCCTCCAGGTAGATTATTAGGCTCTGATAAAGCCCAGCAGGCAAAAGCACTGGTAAAATAGTCTGTGGGGGGTGCAGGCCTTATGGAGAGCAGGGTGCTGGGCATTCCGGATGGTTCTTTTTCCTCCCTGCTTGCTGGAAGAGCAAGGGACTTTCCCCTCAGTATCCACTGGTAGAGCTCCTGGAGGTAGGCTCCCTGGGGGCCTCCCCTTGACTGGACTCCCTGGAATTTATAACTCCCAGAATCGTAATTCTTCAATTACAGTGTAGATTTCCTCTGGTTACTGCAGTGGTTTCTGCCTGTTGGTTTCTTTTCCAGCAAGTTGTGATTTTCTCTGTTTCTCCAGCCTCTAACTTTTTTTTTTTTTTTGAGGAGGAGAGGGGCAGGGGTGATTTGCTCTGTGACTTCCCTTCTCTCACATATACAAGAAGACTTGTTGATTTTTCAGTTTGTTCAGATTTTTTACTTGTTATTAGGATAGAATGGTGATTCTGAGCTCCTGATAGGCTGGACTAGAAATGGCCTGTTATCCCCTCTTTACATAAAAGGAAGCCATGCAGAAAAATATGTAGTCATTTGCTCAAGGGCACTCAGCTAGGAAAAGGTACATCCAGGATTTGGGGATAGGTGTTCTGGGTCAAGAATCTGAGCTCTTAAGCACTATACCATTGAGAAAAACAAGCAGGTTGGAATGTTGGCAGGCAGTTGGAAGAACAGGGGTTCTTACCAGGAGGAGATCATTCAGGTCTACTAAATTCATACTTCACACACACACACACACACACACACACACACACACACTTGTCAGGGCTGCAGTATAGCTCACGGGTAGAACCCTTGCTTAGTATGCTTGAAGCCCCAGGTTCCATCCCCAGCACTACATACACAAAAAATAAAATATCTAATAAAGGAACATATGCTTAGAAGGGTTGGCATAAAAATAATGCTTACTAAAATTCAGATTTAAAGTCAATAAGTGAATATTTAGAGTAAGGGGAAAAAAAAGAAATGAAAACTATCATTTTTACATATTACATTTCAACCCTGGTCCATGTGAATGGATATTATGCATTGAACCTTTTCACTTAACATTGTATCATGGTGATTTCCTTTTTTATAAATGATATTTAATGGTATCAGTTAAGCTGTATAATAGTCTAGCTTGTTGATGGGCTAAAAATTAAAAGCCTGCTATTGTTGTTTGATACTTGATAATTAATGTATTTCTTTTGCAGTGATAATGTTCCACAATTGTGTCCTGCCCGTTGAGTGATTTCATTGGAGACAGCCCCATCAGTATGATTAATTGGGTCATGTGTATGCATAAATGTATAACTATTCACTAATGTTTTGGGTCCCATTAATTTCCACAAGGGCTGTACCAATTTTCTGAGCTTCCAGCATTGTATAATCGTGTGTATGTGTCTGTGTGTGTGTGCGCGCATATGTGCGTGTGCGCATATGTGCGTGCGCGCACGCGCGCGCCTCTTAGATAAAAGTACAATCCCAATCAATATCAGGCGTTCTAAAAGAACACTGGGCTGGGTTTATATAGCTCAGTAGCAAAGAAATTACCTAGCATGTGAAAGGCCCTGAGTTTGATCCCAGCACAGAAAAAATAAAATAAAAAAGATAGGACCTCTTCTATGAATTAATGGAAAAATATCTTTTGTGTGTGTATGTGTGATGGAGATTGAACCCAGAGCTACATCTGCACTCTACCACTAAACTGCACCATAGCCTGATGCCTGACTTCTTTTTAGTTTACATATGTGGCTTTGCATATAGGAATCATTCCACTGATATTTATTGAATGGATATCTGATGGATGCATCAATGAATGACAACCAAATAATAATTACTACTACTACTACTACTACTACTACTACTATTTGGTACTGGGGATTAAACCCAGTGGTGTTTTACCACTGAGCCACATCTCCAGTCCTTTTCAGTTTTTATTTTGAGACAGGGTCTCAGTAAGTTGCCTAGGGCCTCACTTAGTTGCTGAGGCTGGCTTTGAACTTGGGATCCTCTTGCCTCAGCCTCCAGGGTCACTGGGATTATAGGTATCCATAACCACACCTGGCCCAAATGATTCTAATTAACACACAGAAGTTAATATAAAATTGAGATGAATTCTGATTCATAATCAATACTCTTTCTTCTACCATAACTCCACTTTTACTTCATTCAGCCAGACTTTACAATATATGCAAAGCATAGTGCTGGAAGCTGGGTACTACTATAAATAGAGCGCAATGCCATTTAGAACCTCAAAGTTCAACTGAGAAACTCACATACCTCTCCTTCAAAATCTCATTTGTGAAATGAAAGGGCTAGCTTCAGAAATCCCTTCCAGATCCTGAATTCTGTGATCTTATGATACCCTAAACGTCCCACTTTAGGTACTAAGACTTTAACCTTAGTTTAAAGAGCAATCTGAAGGAACTGGTGGTTTAGGATAATGATAGGGAATATTCTTTTTTTTTTCCTTCTCTTCATTCATTGAGCACATAATAAACCCCAGACACCATTAAGTAGTAAGAAAAAATACATAAAGAAATTTGGCAAATCCAACATACTATATGCATTGTATTGTACCGGATAAAAGTACAATTCCAATCTCAATTTTTTTGTGTGTGTGTGTGAATATGATGCACTTAAACATCTATTCTGATGAAAATTTAGATGGAGAAGTGTCTAGAATGAAGCTTAAGAGGGAATCAGCTAATATTGGCCTAAGTTTATTCTTAGTACTCCTCCAAACTAGTGGAGCCTTGGAGAATATTGACTTGTATAGGTTTATCATGGGGACTAATAATTTCATCTTAGTTGCCAACACCAAGACAAGAAAAGATGAACCCATATGGACTCACCACTTCTCCTCTTCTACTTGCACGCCCACGGACTGGAACTTGCTGGGTGCTTTATTCTCTGCTGCTTTGTCAGGTTCTTCAGCATCATCCACCTGCAGAAATCATCAAACAAATTCAGTTGTTCCAACTCAGTCACCTTGTCTGAAAAACAAACATCTGCAGGATTACTGGAAAATTTTGTGATTCGTAACCTTTTTGTTCAATATTTGTGTACCTGATAAGAGCCATCGCTACTGTATTACCATGACCTTTGACTCTGCTGATCTTACAAAGCAATTTTATTCATTCCCAAGGTGGCAGATAAAGGTCTATGATTCCTCCATGAATTTCCAAGTACAAGTGTCCCATGGCACCCATAGGGGAATGGTTCCAGGATCCCCACAGATACCCATCCAAATCCACAAATGCTCATCTCCTCTATAAAATCACATTGGCATTTGCATAACTTATGTGTATCCTCCCATATTTAAAAATCATCTCTAGGTTACTTATAATGCCTAGTACTATGTAAATAGTTATTGTACTGTATTGTTCAAGAGAATCATGAAGGGAAAAACATCTGTCCATGTTCAATACAGATGCTTTTCTGAAAGACAGTTTTGATCTGCGGTTGCCTGGATCCATTGATACAGAGGGGTGACTGTGATTAATTACTTCTGTGTACTGCACTAGAAGGTAGTGTTACTTGGAAATGTGTTCTTGGAAGTTCTAAATTAGCAAATTGCAGGCTGCAATGGTGCCCGCCTGTAATCCCAGTGATTTGAGAGGTTGAAGCAAGAGAATCTCAAATTCAAGGTCAGCCTCAGCAATTTAGCAAGGCCCTGTGCAACTTAAGAGAGACTCTGTTTCAAAATAAAAAATAAGAAGGGCTGAAGATGTGGGTCACTGGTAGAGCACCTCTGGGTTCAATCTCAAATACTGGGGGTGAGGGCATATATACATATACTCCTGTATTTACGTGCGTATATGTGTATATATGTGCATATATATGTGTGTGTGTATGTATATATATATATATATATATATATATATATATATATATATATAGTGATAAGATAAATTTAAAAACATTGGGAAACTTACATTTTCTACACTATATATAAGAAAATGTAGGGAAACTTACATTTTCTACACTATATATAAGAAAATGTAGGGCTGGGAATATAGCTCAATTGGTAGAGTGCTTGCCTCATATGCACAGGGCCCTGGGTTCAATCCCCAGCACCACACACACACACACAAATTAAAATAAAGAAAACATAAGTTTCCTAGTGTTTTTGAATTTCTTGTTTATAGGATCTCTTTTATGAACCTAAATCCTTTTTCTGACAAATGCACTGCAAATATTTTTTTCTCAGGTGATCTTTTGTCTTTTAAACTTTGTCCTTGATCTTATTATATATCTATATCTAGCTTTTATGGTTTGGGAAGGACTTCCTCACTCTGAACATAGTTTTAAAAGTTTGCCTGTATTTGTTTTTATACTTCCAGGTTCTCAAAGTTCTTAAATATCCTGTAAGATGTACATAGACATCTAACATTCCCTGACCCACTTGGGTCATCAGCTAATCTTATTACTTAATTCATTTATTACTTAATTCATCTTTTAAATATATTTTTATCTTATACCATGCTTTACTCATCTATATTTGCCCATACATTCTCATATATATAGAAATTTCTACACTCAGACCTCTTCACGGCTATTGATCTACTGGCCTTATTGCCCCTCCCTCTCCTCTTCCTACTATAATTTTGTAATCAATCTTGATATATTCCATGCTAAGTTTCCTGTAGTTTTTCTTTCTTCTTCTTCTTTTTTTTTTCCTTTTTCTTTTTAAAAATGTAAACAGCTGGGCACAGTGGCACATGCCTGTAATTTCAGCTACTCAGAGCTGGAGATGTTTCTCAGTGGTAAAGCACCCCCTACATTCAATCCCTAGTACCTCAAAAACAAACAAACAAAAAAATCCCAAAACAAAACCCATAGGAATTATTAACTTCTTGAACGTTGGGAAAACCTTTTCTGTAAAATCATCCAAGTCTTTACAGTATTAGACATCTTTTCTTTTTTTTTTTTATTGCAATTTATTCTGAGGTTTCTTCCCCTAGATTTTACACTTTCTCTTGCATCAGTATTATCAATTCACACGTATGTTTATTTAATTTGACTTAAAATTTGCCAACATTAAATTGGCACCAAGAATCTTTTGTAGTTTTGCGGGAGGCCATATTCTTTTCTCATTCCAAATACTGTTAATTGACATTTTCCTTCTCTCTCAGTCAGACTTGTCTATTTATTTGGTCTTTTCAAAGAACTGACTTTGGTTTAATTTTCTTTTTTTAATATTTATTTTTTAGTTTTCAGCGGACACAACATCTTTGTTTGTATGTGGTGCTGAGGATCGAACCCGGGCCGCACGCATGCCAGGCGAGTGCGCTACTGCTTGAGCCACATCCCCAGCCCTGGTTTAATGTTATCTGTTCTGTTTTCATTATTGCCATTGCTTTTTTTGTTCTTAATGCGCTCATCTCTACTTTCACTACTAGTAATGTCTTCCTTTTAATTTGCTTTTCTTTTTCTGGCTTTTTTGAATTGAATGTTTAGTTTATAATATTTCTTCCTTTTTTCTCCTTAATTTCTTGATTAATTTCTTCCTTAATTTCAAAAGAACACAGGGCTGTGAACTTTTAGATGACAGCTCTGGCTAAACCCTACAGTGATTTACAGGATACTTGTCAGTTAGTTCACAATAATTTAGAATTTTCTCTTTAACTCTAGTGTTATTTAGATGTTTTAATATTTTCAAATAGTTAGATTTTGTGATTGGTTAATTCCTAGTTTTAAAGCACAATGTTTGGAAAACATGACTGCAATATTTATTCTTTCTTGGATCTAATGAAATGAACTTGGTAGGTTCATTAGTTTTGACTTATATCCCCCCCTCACCATCTCTTCCCAAATACGCATAGATGCTGATTTCAAGGACATCAAAAAAGAGAAGAAAAAAAAAAAAGTACAAGGCCCAAATGCAACTATCACCTGCAATTTCCCTTATTGTTTCAAGTCAATTGGGAGTCAGAGAGAAGGTGACCTTTTTATTTTCAAAGAACTTTTTAAACATCATCTAACAATCCATTTAGTTGGGTTGTGTTGTTCTAGGGAAGATAATTTGTCAGAGACAAGTTTCATCATTTGCCATTGTACTTCTTCTTCACACAGGACGTAGATTATGTCTTGGCACAAGTGGACGAACAGTAAAGGAAATGAAACAGTAAATCTTAGGAGTGCCTCCCAAATAGGCTGATGTCCTTTTACTTTTTTAATTTGAAGAAGGAGAAAGCAGTTGCATTTTGTATACTGTGAACAATGAAGTTTAAAGCTCAGTTATTCTTGCTTTGCAACATAAATTAAGGGATGACAGATGTCACACATATCTAGATGTAGAGAAGTCAGACTCCCTAGACTAGCATGTAAAACGCATCTGAAGTTGAACTACTCTCAAGATGGGAAGGCAGTGTAACCAACTGTTGCCAGTGGTCATTTTAGGGGGAAGTGGAGCTAGAGCAGGAGTTGGGGTGGGGAAGAAGGGGGGGATTTCATATTTTGTTCTATATACACTCTATCATATAAATCATTTTGCTTTTTTTTTTTTTGGTAACAGGGGATTAAACCCAGGGGTGTTTTACCACCAAGACACATCCCCAGTCCTTTTTATTTTTTATTTTGAGACAACGTCTTGCTAAGTGGCTTAGGATCACTCCGCTGAGAAGGCTGGCCTTGAATGTACAATCCTTCTGCCTCAGCCTCCCCAGTCGCTGAGATTGTAAGCGTGTGACATCATGCCGGCTCGTTTTGTAATTTTAAGAAAAAAAATTTTGCTGGGTTTGGTGGCACATCCTGTGATTCCAGCTTGGGAGGCTGAGGCAAAAAGGATCAGGAGTTCAAAGCCAGCCTTAACAATTTAGTGAGGCCCTGAGGAACTCAGCAAGATCCTGTCTCTAAATAAAAAAAAAAAAAAAAAAAAAAAAAAAAGAAAAAGCTAACAAAAGAAGGTGGGGGTGCTGGAGTTGTGGTAGAGCATTTGCTTGGTATGTGTGAGCCCTGGGCATATAAATAAATAAGTAAAATAAAAGATCCATTTACAACTAAAAATATATATATATTTTTTTTTTTTTTTAAAAAGAAGAAGGTGGGGAGAAACTTCTTTCCTATTTTCAATAGTTTTTTGTGGTACTGTGGATTGAACCCAGGGGTGCTTTAGCACTGAGCCCTTTTTATTTTGAAACAGGGTCTTGCTCAATTGATGAGGCTGGCCTTAAATTTAAGATCCTCCTGCCTCAGCCTCCCAGTCACTAAGATTACAGGTGTACCCCACCATGAGTAGCCCTGTTTCCAACTTCTGTGGTACCTCCCTTCCCTCCACCTGAGGGTGGCTACAGCTCCAGCCTCCAGCCCCCTTCAACAGCCAAGCTCCAGCTGCCCTGGACTCCCCAGAACTCCAGCTCCAGCGGTCATGGCTGCCCCAGTGCTGTGGGCTCAGGGCCTTCCTGCTTAGCTTAGCTCCTAAATCCTGGCAACCCCACCTTCCCCCTTGTGTTCCCCTGGTTCTAGGAATGGTCACCGTTACTGTATCCCTTTACTGCTCTCAGCCTTCCCAGATCTGTGTAACCAATTGTGTGCAGGAGGCAGGCTTCCATTTGAAAAATGAGCCTGGCTTCTGATTTCCTGAATAGGATTCTAACCGATTCCACATGGCTGGACCCGTGTAAATTAAAAATGCTTAGGATATCAGCCAAACCAGAATGCTGCGGCCTTACACCATGCGGTAGTATCAAAATCACCTCCAGAATGCAGAGAAAACAGAAAAAAAGAAGAATCAGGGGCCTCAAGGATGAGAATGGAGTCTTCTGGGTTCAAGCCTCACCCCATGTACCCAAACTGCCTGCTCATTTGCATCAAAATCTCGGTGTCTTCCAAGCTTGAGTCAGTGTGTGTGAAGTTTATCTCTGTGATTCTCCTTCTTAGTTAGATCCAAATACTAACAAATGTTGCCTTTCTTTTTATTTTATATTATTTTTGTGGTGCTGGGGATTGGACTTGTGCCTCATGCATGCCAGGAGGCAAGTGCTCTATCAATGAACTACAACATCAGGCCAAAAGCCACTTTTCATATATGATATCTAAGATAATCTACTTAAATTTCTGAAGAGAATTTCAAAATTTTCAGAAGAAATTGAAGAACCATTAAATCTCCTTAAAAAATTGAGAAAGTGCTGGGTGTGGTGGAATACATCTGTAATCCTGGCAACTCGGGAGGCTGAGGCAGGAGGATTCAAAGTTCAAGGCCAGCCTCAGCAACTTAGTGAGACCCTAAGCAACTTAGTTTATTTGGCTAATGGTTATTATAAAGGAGGATAATATTAATAATAACAACTAAATCTAATATTTGTTAAGCCCTTATTACAGCATGTATTGATTTAAAGCCTTATCACTCATTTTTTTCTGTATCCTATAAAGTACCAAATGAAATAAGAACAATTATTATTTTCATTTACCAGACTAGGAAACTAAGACCCAGAAATAATTGGCTTAAATTTATATAGGTTGTAGAGTAAATGGTTATAATATCAGCTAGTAGGTGTATAATGAATTAAAAGTGTGAGGATAAGTTTGGAACCCCTAAAGAGGTAAAGGGGTGGGAGGGAGTCCAATATCCTAATGTCATGTATTTGGGGGATTAGTTTTTTTTGCTTTGGGTACTAGGGATTGAACACAGGGGCATTCAACCACTGAGCCACATCCTCAGCCCTATTTTATATTTTATTTAGGGACAGGGTCTCACTGAGTTGCTTAGCACCTCACCTTTGCTGAGGCTGGCTTTGAACTCTTGATCCTCCTGCCTCAGCCTCCTGATTCGCTGGTATTACAGGTGTGAGCCACCGCAACCAGTTTAGTTTTTAAATTATATTTCTACATAATGAAATTCAATACATATTTTGCATCTTGAATTTTTAGTTGTTTATTATTCCCCATTGTTGAAGCAGTGTAATGTGGTGACATTAGATACTGAGGTACAGTCTTTATTCCGTCAACATAAGGTGTGTGACCTTTGGCAAGTTACTCAATCTCTCAGTGCTCATCTGAAGGGTAGTAATAATGATAATAAACCATGCACAGAGTGGCAGTACTGGTTAAATGAGACACTTATTGCTATAATTTGGATCTGGAATATTCTTCAAAGGCCCAGGTGTTAAAGGCTTAGCCCCCAGCTTGGCACAGTTGGGAGGCGCTAGAACCTTTAAGAGGTGGGATCTACTGGGAGGTCTTCTAGTAATATGGGGCGTGTTCTTGAAGGGGATATTCGATCCCAGTCCCTCTTCTTCCTGGCCACCATGGGATGAGCAGTTTGTATCATCACACTCTCTGCCATGGTATGCTGCCTCACCAGAGGCCCCAAACCAACAGGACCAACTGACCATGGGCTGAAACCTCCAAAACTTTGAGCCAGAATAAACCTTTCATCTTTTTAAGTTGATTACCTTGGGTATTTTGTTACAGTACTGGACAACTAACTAACACATTCATATCATCAAGTATCAGTATTTTACCATAATTTATATAGTAGAGCAAGACACTTGAAGGAAGAGCCAAAACAGTTTCTTTCATTTACTAAAGTATCCTTTAGTAAATGGAATAATTTCTAGAGTAAAAACTTTTCTCCCCAATACTACATGTGGATTTTCACCCATCTTATTGGATGAAAATATTGATACTAGAAGTTGGATTTCATATATACAAATGCCTTATTCTTAGAATTATTTGGCAAGGAGGAGATATGACAAGCCAGCAGAACTTGGGAAGTGATTAAAATAAGCACATAGAAGCTTTTAAATAAAATGAAATTAGGAGATAAGATGTAGCTCAGAGACACAGTGCTTGCCTAGCATGTGTGAAGTCCTGAGTTCATCTCCCATTACTGGGGGGCGAAACAGAAAAAAGAAAAGCAAGACTAACAAATAGTTATCCTCAAAATACATTGTCAAGTGAAAAAAAAAGGCAAAAAATGTAGAATAGTGTGAGGCATATGCTAATATCTGGATTAAAAAAGGACTAAATAAAAAAAATTTGCTTGAATATGTGCAAAATATGCCTGCATGGAGATGCAAATATTGATTGTATCTTTGGTCACTGTACACTTTTTAAGAACAAGTTTGGAATTTTGAACAACAGAGATGTATTACTTACTGAAAGTAATATAAAATAAAGAAAAAAATGAATTAAATGTTGAGGAAGTAGAAACAGGTTAACATGCCTTGGTACCAACTATGTGCCAGATAGGAAGGCAACTTTCTATTATTATAGCAATATATATATATAACATAAAATGTACCATTTTAATAATCTTTTTTTTGGGGGGGGGTACTGGTGATTGAACTCAGGGGTACTTGACCACTGAGCCAATCCCCAGCCCTTTTTTATATTAATTTAGAGACAGGGTCTCACTGAGTTGCTTAGCACCTCACTGTTGCTGAGGCTGGCTTTGAACTTGCGAACCTCCTGTCTCAGCCTCCCAAGCCACTGGAATTACAGGTGTGAACCACCACACTCGGCTTAATACTCTTTTTAAGTGTGCCATTCACTGGCATTAAGTACATTCTCATTTTGTGCAATCAGCTCTATTATCTATCTCCAGAATTTTTTCATCAGCCTAAACTGTAACTCTGTTAGGGTTAAAAAATAACATTAAGCGGGGGTGCACGCCTGTAATCCCAGAGGCTCGGGAGGCTGAGACAGGAGGATCACAAGTTCAAAGCCAGTCTCAGCAAAGGCGAGGTGCTAAGCAACTCAGTGAGACTCTGTCTCTAAATTAAATACAAATAATAATAAATAATAACATTAAACAATAACACCTACAGAAAGCTAGATTTTTGAAAACTAGATCTTCCAAATCATCCTATGAAAGAGAGACAAAGAAACTAAAGCTCAGTAAGATTAAATGGTTTTCCCAGGACCACACAGAGGGCCAGCCTCTGTCCTTCCCTACTCCTTAATCCTTGGGTGATGGGAGGGGACTTGGTTTCTGGGGGAAATAGAGATGTGGGCAGCAGGCTGGCTGGGGCCTTGCCTCCTCCTGTGTCATCTACTCCCAAGCATCACTGATCCAAGCTCTTTTAGGAAGCTTGACAACTTGTGCTATGGTTACCTGGAGGTTATAAAAAGGCATTTGACCCGTTGCCACTAGAGAAAGATTAATTGCCTTTTCAAAGTGAGCGTTGTGGAACAGATTGTGAAAATACATCAGCAATTGTAAGAAGGTACCCTACGCCTGGCTTTTAGATGTACCCAGAGTTCAGTGGGGATTAAAGACCAAGTTGAGAAGTTACTATAGAAGTTACTATTCAGTGAACACCTGCAGAATGAGACAGCACAACAGAGATGGAGAAAAGGAATGAATCTTCTCTGATAGAAGGTAGTCTTTCTTGTAGGGTAACCAAAGATAAACACGTGAAAAAAGATAAGGCTGGCTGGGCACAGTGGTGTATGCTTATAATTTCAATGGCTTGGAAGGCTGAGGCAGAAGGATCGTGAGTTCAAAGCCAGCCTCACAACCTAGCGAAGACCTAAGTAACTTAGCAAAACTCTGTCTCTAAATCAAACATAAAAAATGGGCTGGCAATGTGGCTCAGTGGTTAAGTGCCCCTGAAATCAATCCCGATTATCAAAAAGAAAAAAGATAAGGCTGGCCAGATGTGGTGGATATGGCTGTAATCCCAGCGACTCTGAAGGCTGAGGCAGGAGGATCACGAGTTTGAGGTCAGCCTCAGCAACTGATCAACCTAGTGAGACCCTGTCTCAAAAATAAGAAAATAAAAAAAGGCTGGGGATGTAGCTCAGTGGTTAAGTGCCTGTGGGTTTAACCCAAAAGAAAAAAAAAAAACACCAAGGGAAATCAGATCAGAACTGTCTCAGAAAAGCAGCCAACAGTGAACCGGCAGAGTGGTCCACCACTTTTATGAAATGAGCCAACAGTTAGGCTGAAAGTGATGCACATTCTTTGCTTGTGATGCTGGAACATGAGTTTGGGCTTTCAATACCACCATGCTCCCAGCCTTACTCTCCCACATCTGGGAGGAGAGAAGCGCACTGGTGTTCCATATGGTGACTCAACAGAGTTGGATACATAGCAGGGCACTGGATGACCCTGGCTATTCTTGGCTGTCCAGTCCCGTATGAGACTCCAAACGCTCAGTAGGAACCGAAGGGCACTTTATGTTTGATCGTGTTCATGTTCCTTAAATTAGCTTAGGGTTCAAGTCACACATTCAATTTAGAGAATAAAAACAAGAGCTGTGAATAACAACTCATCTCTTCATAATTTGGGTCACATTTACCCATATAGGGAATCCAGAGCCAATTTTTTTTCTTTTTTGCAAATCTGGTCCTACATATATAACTATAGTGTTGGCAATGACAAAATAATAAACTTCTGGATAGAAAAAAAAAAAGATGTGCTATATTTCTTAGTTGTGGTTCCCATTTCAAAGGGCACAAGGGAGGCTGTTACCTGTATCCCGATAGACAGGCATCGGTTTTTCTTAAGGTCCTTCTTCCTGTCCTCTGTGGTGACTGTGGCTATGGTGGTGGTGGTGGTGACCGTGGCAGTGTTATTGCCCATGTGCTGACTCGCAGGGCCGTGAATCTGGGCGTTGGCGGCCTCGATGGCGGCTGTCAGAGCCTTCATACTGTCCAGGCTTTCTGTGGAGTTGCTGAGTCCAGACTGGCTGATAATGTCCCCTCGCTGGCCCTGTCCGTCCATGTAGGCATCCTGCGCAGACTCTGTGCTACTCTGGGCTGTGATAGAAATGAAAGGTTTCGTGGTAGTTCTGGGTGGGACTGGAGGTGGTGTCTTCTTATATGTTGTAATGCAAGATGACACTGGAAGACAGTGAAAACAGACACTGTGATTCCTGCATGGGTCAGCGTTTCTGATCTTGTAACTGACGGCCACTGGAAATCAGGGAACACAAAACACTCTTCAGACACTGGACACGAAAACAAGCCCATGGACGGACCAAGAGAGATCCCTGCTGGGGAGACTGGGGGGCCTCCAGGAGGGGACACCCCCCACACAACTGAGGGGAAGAGATGGGAAAACACCGACCTCTGACATGGAAGTTTCTGAAATGGAAATTGAGAATCATGGGATGGGCCCACCATAGAAATCTTCAGGCAGCCTGGGCAAAGTCAGGGGAGCCCTGCTTTCTCAGGAGCACGTTAAATATAGCTAAAGCTATAAGAGGTCAGTCATTAGAGTCACCCTGGTGGCTGATAACTAAATGCTGAAAGGAGAAGAAAGGAAAGGGAAAGGCCATGAGCCTGTGTGTCCTAGTGACAATAGGAGGTGCCCCTGGGGGAGGCCTGGCAGCCATCTTGGCTTCCTGCAAGGTGCTTCCTTCCGGCCCCTTCCTCTAGTCCCTGTTCCTCCCTCCCTCCCTCCCTCTTTCCCTTCCTCTCTTCCTTTATCTGGATAGGCGCTCATTACACAAACTTTTGCTTTACATTTTTGATTTTCTGAGCACAACTTCTAAGAGGTAATGTGCTGTACAGAAGTCTCCTGTGGTAAAAATACATTGACACGCTAGTTTGTAAATCACTCTTTGAGGATGTGTTTGGTTTTTCTGAACCTCAACCCCAAGAGGCCTTCCTGTAGGGCCACTCACTCCATCCAGTCAAGGTCCTGGATCCATGTACCTCCTCTAAGGTCCTCCCTAGGCTCCCACTGAAGCATCACTGTCTGATTGTAATATTGAATACTACTGAATAGTTAGCTTTCAGGTTTCCATTTGTAGAACATGATTTAGAAAACTACAGAAAACTTTTTAAAAAGAATCATTAAGCTGGTCATGGTGGTACACACCTGTAACCTCAACGACTCGAGAGGCTGAGGCAGGAGGATCACAAGTTTGAGAGACTGGGCAACTCACAAGACCCTGTCCCAAAGTAACACTTTAAAAATGGGCTGGGGATGTAGCTCAGTGGTAAAGTGTCCCTGAGCTAAATCCTCAATATAAAAGAAAAAAAAATCTTAATTAAAACAAAACAAAAAACTCTTAAGTCTCCAAGAGGGAATGCCTATCAGTATGAAACGATTCCTTAAGCAGTTTCCTGGAGACTTTTGTGTAGTTCTCCTAAAAACCAATTTGAGAGCTGGGGGTGTGGCTCAGTGGCAGAGCCCTTGCCTAGCATGTGGGAAGCCCTGGGGTTGAGCCCTGAAACAAAATACCTCATAAAACAATTGCAACTATTTCTCACCCACCCTTTTCATGTTTTTTTTTTTTCCCCAGTACTTGGGACTGAACAAAATAGACGGGGCTGTCTACCACTGAGCGGCATCCCTAGCCCTTTTTAATTTTTTTTTTTTTATTCTGAAAACAGGGTTTTGCTAAGTTTCTGAGGCTGGCCTTAAACTTGGGATCCTCCTGCCTCAGCCTCCAGAGTGGTAGGGATTACAGGTATGCACCATTGTACCTGGTCCCTTCCATGCTTTTCCACTCAGAGATGAAGTTCCTGTCATTTCCTTGAGTCAGCTAGACCTAGCTACCCTGTCCAGACTTGTTGCCTAGGGTTCTAGCTGCCACTTGGGCCATCTCACTGAATCAAATCCAATATTTCCTCAGGCTACTCAAAATATCCTGCAATGAACAGAAAGATCCTATCATGCTATCCTGCTCTCCACTGCCCTGGAGAATATTTGGGAATAATTTTCTTAACCAAAAGAGAGAAAGCAGAGGGCTGGGGATGTGGCTCAAGCGGTAGCGCGCTCGCCTGGCATGCGTGCGGCCCGGGTTCGATCCTCAGCACCACATACAAACAAAGATGTTGTGTCTGCCGGAAACTAAAAAATAAATATTAAAAAAAATTCTCTCTCTCTCTCTTAAAAAAAAAAAAAAAAGAGAGAGAGAGAAAGCAGAAGTTATACTGGGCTACTTCCCAGAGAGTGCCTGAGAATTGAAATAATAAATCATGCAAATGCCACATAATGCCACATTACAATGTCATATATGCTCTCTGGAAGGTAGGGGTATATATATATATATATATAGGGTCACCTCTCAGTTACCTAGATGGATGATTGGCAGAATCTCACTCCAAGAAAAACTTCCATTTACATTTACTGCCTGAAACATATACCTTTACCATTTGAACACAGTAAGCAATAACCATCCAGCTTCCTCATTTTTTGCCAAGGTTCCTGAGAAGGGATGCCACTAGTGGAAGATCGGCGTGTCCCTGGAGGGCCAGCAGCAGAGAGCCAGCCCAGCCCCAGGTTCGTCCCCTTAGCCCTCAGTTAAGCCTCTGGCCAAGTCACACCCACAAGAATGATGTTTATCTGCTGCCCCACTCCATTGCATTTCAGGCACTTAACCCATCAGGGAGCTACCTCAGTTTCCCAGGACAGTTTGAAGGGTGGTCAGTCTGCTCAGTCTCAGGTATACATCGGAAGACCCAGAGCAGGTGACAGGCGGGAGGGAGTCAGAGTTAGAATAGAATCTCTCTCTCTCTTTGAATCTAATGAAAATACATCCTTGCGTCACTTCTTTGGAGACACATCTTTACAATGCGAAACCATGACCTAGTTCAAAATGGAGTCTCGGGTCATTTGGCCCACTCCTGTTGCAAGGAAGCTAAATAACACATTCCAACATCTAATGTCTGATCTTTTTGATTATTTATTTACTGCTTATCGGTAGCTCTCACCAGTTTCCTCTTTCAGTGTGGATAATCAAAATTGAACAATGCAGCCCATTATAATACTATTTTGTTTCCTCTGACATACAGAAAAGCTCTTGCCAGGAACCGGACATGGTGGTGCATGCCTGTCATCCCACCGGTTCGGGAGGCTGAGGCAGGAGGATTGCAAGTTCAAAGCCAGCCTCAGCAACAGGAATTTAAAAGGAATTTGGATCTTTTTACTTTTTTTTCCTTCTTTATTCATTCATTCATTCATTCATTCATTCATTTTTAGCACTAGGGATTGAATCCAGGGGTGTTTAACCACAGAGCCACATTCTGAGCCTATTTATTATTTATTTATTGAGACAGGGTCTCACTGAGTTGCTTAGAGCCTCATTAAATTGCTGAGGTTGGCCTTGAACTTGTGATCCTCCTGCCTCAGCCTCCTGATCCTCTGGGATTACAGGTGCCAGATCACTTCCTAATTCTTTGGCACTCCAAGGGTGCTTCAGAAACTCACTCAACTAAATTTCTCCATTTTCCCCAGGATCACTCTTTCCTAGGTTTGTAGGCTAAGCCCTGAGCTCTTTCTTCTAAGGGTGTCCTTTCTAAAAATATGACTCTCAGGGATTCATCACCAGGGGTGATTGAGAACCCACCAAGAAGGTCTGAGTACCAGCAGGCAGAGAGAGGCCCACGGAGGGGAAAGACAAGCTAATAAATCTTGTCTGGTCTAAACAGAAAGGGAAACTGAGTGGTTTCTACACGGTAAGTGAAACACCTCATTTGTTAAGAGGAACATTCTTAAAAAGAACGACTTAAAAACACAAATGCTCCCTTAAATCAAGTGGAACTTGAAAAAGAAATGATGTATTTTAATCATGCTTATTGCTTTTCTTTAACCTGATATGTTTATTTGTTCACTTCAAATAAGATGACTTCTCTTCCTCCTCTGGGTCCTGGCTGAAAGAACTCCTATTGGTCCCTCCCTCCCTCCTACCCTTCCCTCCCTGCCTCTCTCCCTCCCCCCCTCCCTCCCTTCCTCCCTTCCTTCCTTCCTTCTGTGCTGGGATTGAACCCAGGGGCACTTTACCACTGAGCTACATCCCCAGCCCTTTTTTAAATTTGAGACAGGGTCTTGCTAAATTGCAGAGGAACTTGCAATCCTCCTGCCTCAGCCTCCTGAGTTGCTAGGATGACACAGGCTTGTGCCACCAGCAACTGAACTTCTATGCATTTGTAAGATGAGTCCCTAGATACAAAGCTGCAGATTCCAATGACATTATTTTCATTCAGTTCACACTGCAGAGGACAGCACAAGCAGAAGCTGGTATTAACATCTGATTTCAGAAGTTGTAACACTATGTTAAGTTAAAATTAAATAAAAAGGTTACAGAGATACAGAGAAAACAAATGAGAACAGCTTCCTATCATGTCTGCTTCTAGCTAACTGTTCCGCCTTGTCTATATTTGCATTGAAAGTTAGTGCTAGTGTTGCAAGCCACAGTCCTTTGGCTGAACCAGGAATTATTTTGTTCTGCAGTGGTGAAGGTTTTTTGGCAAAATATCTACACTGTCTTATCCCTGGGTATCTTTTGTGATCAAGAGCATACAAATATCAGGAAGTCACAAAACAGATGTGGAATCCAACCCGTTTTTTGTATTGACTTTTCCTTTTGGTACCAGGGATTGAATGCAGGGGCGTTTAACCACTGGGCCACATCCCCAGCCCATTTTTGTATTTTATTTAGAGACTCTCGCTAAGTTGCTTCGGGCCTCACTAAATTGCTGAGGCTGTCTTTGAACTCCCAGTCATCCTGCCTCAGCCTCCTGATCCACTGGGATTACAGGCATGTGCTACCACGCCCAGCTGTATTGACTTCTTAATAAATTCCTACTGGCTAAGCTAATGGATCATATACATAAATTAGCTATATTGAGAAACGGTTTAGCAGTCCTTGGTTACTGGATTTCAGAAATTCATTCAGGGGCTAAGGAGTGCTTTTAAGAGGGCTAAGGCTGTAGCTCAGTGGTATGGCGCTGCTGGGTTCTATCCCCAGTACCGCAACAAAAAAAGAGAGAGAGAGAGAGAGAGAGAGAGAGAGAGAGAGAGAGAGAGAGAGAGAGAGAGAAAGTCCTTGAGAAACTACAGATACAAAAAGAAACTGTCAGGGCTGGTCTGGGGCTCAGTGGCAGAGCGCTTGCCTAGCATGTGTGAGGCACTAGGTTCTATTCTCAGCACCACATATCAATAAATAAAGGCCCATAAACAACTAATTAAAAAAAAAGAAATTGTTAAAAATCTAAAATTAATAATAATTTTAGATACAGTTGTAGTCAAACAATTTCTTTCTGATGACGTGTTATCCTGAGTTATGAAGCAAGCTGTGATCTGATCACCTTTGAGAAGTGGCAGCTTCTGCACGGCACTGGGCCACCTTTGGATTAGGTATGACTTGCACCAGATGATCTCCTCTGAGGGTGCTGAAGACCACCAAAGGGAAGGGCTGCCTCAACCCATTGTCTAGTTTCTGTTCAGGGCAACATGATGGACTCTTGACTTGGTCTAGATAAACAGTAGTTGCATAATAAATGCTCAAAAGGAAAGTTTTTATTACAAAGATTTTAAAGACCAAATGGCATTGATAGGGGGGTGTCGGAACTCACTCTTATCACTTGCTAAAGTTGATTGTGTACATCTCTTCCCAGCTCTGTGTTCAACTTGAAATTGACTATGGTGTGGGTATTTACACCATAAAAACTGACAGATGCTGTAAATCAGCAAGTTGAAGCATTTCTGTGTACAGAGCAGAGAGATATTCAAAGTGCTGCTGGCCGCATGGGGCTGGTTCACAAACCACTGTACCTGGTGTGCATGTACCGTGCCCTGAATACTGAAAGCTTTTAGAAACTTTCTAGCAATTTTATAGTCTTTTGTCTGTTGAATGAAATACAAAGAAAACAGTGGGTTAGGTTTTAGTGTGTCTTTGTTTTTTAAACTTCCTTTTTCTGGTAATTCATCTTTATTAATTTTATCCGAGTGTTGATCTACAACAGATGGAAGATCAAACAGAAAACTGGTCCCGCACCACAGAGAGCTTGGAAGGACCTACACAGACATTTGCAAATTCAGAGAACAGTGCAGACAGAGGCTGTGCAAGTAGGATGAAGAACATGTCAGAGAGGTAAACTGAGCCTACAGGGTGCTTTAGAAGGCAATATGATGCTGGGTGCAGTGGTGCACACTTGTCATCTCAGAGGCTCTGGAGGCTGAGGCAGGAGGATCGCAAATTCAAAACCAGCCTCAGCAACTTAGTGAGGCCCTAAGCAACTTAGTGAGACCCTGTCTCAAAATCAAACATAAAAAGGGCTAAGCGTGTGGCTCAGTGGTTAAGCACCCCTGGGTTCAATCCCTGGTACCAAAAGAAAAAGAAAAGAGAAGAGGTCAAAAGGAAAATGAAATGTGAAGCATCAAAATTAGGGATATAAAGAGATGACTGCAGTAACACAGAATGGGGACTGGACTTGAGGTTTGAATGTCAGGGAAGGTACTTATTTCTGAAAAGGCATTAAGAATGGAAGTGTGGTATCCAGAATCATAGGAGGATCTTTGGGTTGTGTTTTATTCTGTGCTCCTTGGCTCCCCCTTACCTCTCTCCACTCTCATATGGTGCTAGAGATGAAACCCCGGACCTCACACATGCTAGGCAATTGCTCTACCACTGAGCTCCATCCCCAGCTGTGGGCACCTTGCTTTAAGAAGAAATGTATGGGTTTAAGGAAAGGGCATACTTCATTTGGAAAAGAAGGAAGACAGGAATTCACTGATTTGGAGGGTGGCTGCCTAAAGTACAGCATGGACTTCTGTGTTAAGTCCCCAACGAAAACCACAAAGATAAGAGGTCAGAGAGTCATAAAGAAAAATCCTCTAAACCAGGCTTGGTGGCCCAGGCCTGAAATCCCAGAAACTCAGGAGTCTGAGGCCGGAGGATTGCAAGTTTGAAGCCAGACTTAACAAGGTAGTGAGACTCTCAGCAACTTAGCAAAACTCTGTTTCAAAATAAAAAATAAAAAGGGCTGGAGGATGTGGCTCAGTGGGAAAGCATCCTTGGGTTCAATCTCTAGCACCAAAAAGGAAAAAAAAAAAAAAAAAGAAGAAGAAGACAAAGATAGTCATCAGCTATCCAAACATGGAATATGAGGACCTCACCCAGTAGTGAGCTCTCAGTCCCTGGAGATATACAAGCATAGATCAGCTCTTTTTTTTTGTCTGAGAGGTTATAGAAATTGTACCAACAACTGACAGACGGTTGAATTTGGTGACAAGATTTCTTTTAAACTGAAGGCCCTATGGCTTCATAAATATGAATGGAATCTGGAAGAGAATCTGAAACGCAGGGTCTCACTGAGGGTGATGCCTAAGAGTTGAAGAAAGAATCCCAAAAAAGAGGCTAGGGGAAGAAGTCGCAACCAGGCTCTTCGGTTGTCATGACAAATGTTCTGGCATCCCGGGGAAGTATTTTGAACCTGGGGAGAATGCAACTGCTAACAGAAAAGTTTGCTGCTGCTGTTTCCGGTCAGGCCGGCCCAGAAGTCTTGCACTTCACTGTGAATCTTAGAGTCCTGCTGTTCATGGCACTGTGCCTTGGCAGACTGGACTCCCTGTCAAGTGCCAGACAAACCAGTGGTCTGGCTCAGGTCCTTCACTGGGAAAAGGCACAAGCTCAGGTGACAAGAGAGAGGCTGAGATTGCAGAATTAGCCCAGACCCTCCTCGCCATGCCAAGATTAGATCTTCCTAATCATTAGAGATCCAGACACTGTGCTAAGAACTTAACCCACATGGCCTTAACTGACACGAGGATCCCACTGTCTCTATTCAATCGATGGAAATGTTAAGGCTTAGAGGGTTCCACTTCATGCTTTGAATATAACCCTCGTGACTTATTTTAAAATGGACATTGTTTTGGTTTGTTTCCCTTCTCTTCGCCCTCTCCCCCCTCCCAGCCTATAAGGTGGGGGGAACAAGATAAACCTTCTTCCCATCCTAGGCCAAGTTATCTGTCCTTGAGCAAACACACCACAGGAGTAAAGCAATCGACTTCAGGATGGTAGGAGAGGACCTAAGAAGGGGCTATCTCTAAAGTCTACAAGTGAATTATGACCCCTCACAGGACACACCTGGAATGCAGCCTTTGAATCACCCCTTGACAGTGAGAATCACAGCCTCGGGGACAGCAGTCCCCTGTGTTTCTCCTTTGCTAGCAAAGCAATAAAACTTCTTTTTTCCTTTTTCTCAAAACTACATCCTCCTCATTGGATTGGCCTTGGGACCAGCACCGAGCTTTCAGGAATAAGAGCAAGAAATGGATGTCCCTATGTCACATATCTACCAAGTGGTGAAGTTAGAGCTGCACATTCCATTTCTTCATTAACCCAAACCACTGGTATTCATGTCCCCCAACACACATCCATCAAAGTAAAAACCAACAAGCCCACTGCACCCTGCAGGAACTCATCAGAAATTTAGTGAATGATACTCTGGAGGCTGAGGCAGGAGGGTCACAAGTTTGAGGCCAGCCTCAGCAATTTAGCAAGACCTTAAGCAACTCATCAGGACCCCGTCTCAAAATCAAACATAAAAAGGGCTGAGGATGTGGCTCAGTGGTAAAGTGCCCCTAGGTTCAATCCCTACCACCAAAAAAAAGGGAGAGAGAGAGAGAGAGAGAGAGAGAGAAAGGAAGGTAGGTAGGTAGGTTAGTCACAGCTACTGGGAGGATTCCCTGAGCCCTGGAATTTTTGTTTGTTTGTTTTTTGGGGGGGTGATGTACCAGGGATTGAACTCAATGGCCACTAAGCTACATCCCCAGCCCTATTTTGTGTTTCATTTAGAGACTGGCTCTCACTGAGTTGCTTAGAGCCTTGGTTTTGCTGAGGCTGGCTTTGAACTCACCTAGCAATCTGGTCTCAACCTCCCAAATTGCTGGGATTACAGGCCTGCACCACCCACCGTGCCCAGCAGTTTGAGATGAGCAGGAGGACCATAGCAAAAATCAGAAGGAAAAAAAAAAATGCAGCTCAACGGTGCAGCACTTGTCTAGTATGGGCAAGGCTCTGGGTTGGATCCTCAGCACTGCAAAAGTAAATAAATAAAAATTTTTAAAGAATTAAAAATGCGGGGGATATAGCTCATTGGTTGAGTGCTTGCCTTGCAGGCACAAGGCCCTGGGTTCAATCCCCAGCACCAATCAATCCATCAATCAATAAAGCAAAATATTACAAAAAGAGAAAAAAATCTGCACAACAAAATACATGGGGAAAAAAAAATCACTACCTTGTTGCAAAATATTTACAGCTTCCCATTTCCAGGCCACCCAAAGTGAGGTGTCAGTGGTGAGAAGGAAGGCAGGATGTGAGGTTCCCTGGGCGGGTGACAAGTAAACCCTGGGTTCCCAGCCCACCTCCGTGAGGCATGGCGCATCCCATAGTCGTCTCCTCTCCCATTAACTTCGGCTCCAGGGAGGTGGCTGAGAGAATGATTTCCACTAACGCCATCCTCCACGGAAACCACAGAGATGACGAGTGCAACTTTTCTTAGTCAAAGCAGAAAAGAGCACGCTTGTGTCGGAGCCTAGGGGGAAGGGAGGGAACAGCAGGAGGGGGAGGGGGAGGGGGAGGGGGAGGGCAATAACTCTTGCAGTCCTCCGCCTTGCCAGTTGGTAGTTACTAGTATTCCAGACACTTCCTAATGCCAGACAAATGCTCCAAGCCTCGGCGTGTCTGGCTTGGAGATCTATTCAGCTGATAGTAGCTGCCTCTTCTGGGGAGAACAGGGCTGCGGCTGCTAATCAGACCCAACATTGTTCTCAGAAGGAAGAATGGAAAGGTTTGTTTCAGAGTCACATTTTCTTTTCTTTCTTTTTCTTTTCTTTCTTTCCTTTTTTTTTAAGAGGCATCCAAATTGTTTTAACAAGTTACTACAAAACATGGGCTTCCCGAGGTGAGGCTGTTTTGCACAGTGTGTGTACTGTACAAAGATCCAGGGAGGGAGGGATCAGAAAGTTAGAGTCATTAAAAAAAAAAAAAAAAAAAAAGCCCCAGGCACTTAATGCCTGGAAATGATGTAAGACGCAGCCACTCCTCTGTTAGAACTACAACCAAACAATGCTCCGGCCATCCACAGCAGCTGCTCTCCAAATGTCAGCGCCAGTCCCAGTCAAAAAAGCTTGAAATCTACCAGGCTGAAGGACTTGGTGCTGTGCCCTGGTCTCCCACATTTTCCCTGAGCGTTCTCAGGAACCTGGCAACAGGTAACGTGGCAACCTTTGACTTATAAAATGGCAAGTGGCATCATTTCAGGGAACAAATGGATTTTTTTTTCTTTTTCTCCCAAGCCAGCTGCTTCTCCCCCCCAACACCGGCCCCACACCCAACCCCCATCCCTCCCACTCCAAAGTCTGAGAAAACAAAGTATTGCTGCGGGCAACCCTACTCTCGACAGTCCCCTTGTGGCCAAACCTGGAACAACACGTACATACTCAATGGCCGCTCGGCAGCAAGGTAAGTGGCGCTGCTGCGGAAGGGGACCTTGGCTGGACTTGTCTTCCAAAAACCAGAGTGGAAGTCAAGACTCAGAAGTCTTGCTTTATATACTAGCACCTTAAAAAAAAAAAAAAAAAAAAAAAAAAAAACCTTCTCCGGCTTTCGGGTAAAATCTAGGTTGCGGCTAAGGATTTTTTTTTTTTTTAGCAGTAGCTATATTAATATTTTTTAAAGTAATAAGTTAAAAAGCAAGAACTGCTCTAGCAATGTTCACCCAATCTCTTCACATCCCAGTCAGATGGGCAGATGGCAATGAATGCAAAGACTGGGGATTCCTGCTGCCAGTGACTGACATTTTCCATTTTTATCTGAATTTGTACTGTATATGCAGACACCTCTCTCTCAGGCTTGAAGCATTTCTAACTGCCTTGCTGTCTTCCAGTGAGCCTGTTTGCAAAGATTGCTTAAGATTTCCAGCCTGCAGGCCCAGCTTCCCGGAGAGCATGCCTCGCAGCCACACCTTCACTCTTTTATCTCTGTGTGGGGCAAACACCCACGAAAATGCTCAGGGCAGTGTTTTGAACCTGCTTTCTTCCTCCCAGGTCTGTTTCCACCCTGTGGTCTCTGAAGGAGCTTCTGGTAGCTCCAGCTAGCCCAGAAAAGAAGGCCTGTCTTCCTTCTGCTTCAAAATAACTGGAAAGGAAAAATGAGGTTCAGATCAAAGTGACTGTTCTCTTCAGGAAGTTCCGTTAATTAACTAGATTAGAGGGTGCTAAATGATGTTTGGATGAAGGTCATTTCAGAAGGTTCAGGGCCAGAGGTTCAGGTCTTAAGCTTGTAATATGTACTTTTAATGAAGTTTGACAGTAAGTTGAGTAATACTAGAAACTGAAGGTTTCCATATGTAAAACCAGCGGTTGCCTGAAATCAGTTTCAAAGGATCATCTTGAAAGTAGATATTTGGCTAGTATTTGCCTCGATCATTTAATACTGGAGATTAAAAACCTAGGGTTCTGATTAAGAATCATTTGGCCAATGCTAAAGTCAATCGTAGCCTTCATGTTGAAATCAGGGCGTTTAGGACTTGGGGCTTACTAATTTCCAAGGAGGGAGTGTTGCTTGCAGTTGGGAATGTGACCAGGATTTCACGGCTCAGGCTCATTTTCTCGGCTTCTCTAACAGGTGCTGTTGAGTCATCCATGTACACAAATGACTGCCCTGGCAGTTTCATCTCTGAGGATTAAATTTCCATTTGTTCCATTACTTTATAAAGTGATTTCTACCAGTGAGTCAGATAGATCACTTCCTTTTAGATCTAGGATTTTTTTTTTTTGAACATTCATAATGATGTGTGTATTTTTCAAAATGGGTCCCAGCCAGGTCTGTAGGTCTTCCTGGTTTGAATGGACTGTTTACAAGAGAGGAAGACTCAGGGACCAAGGTCGGGGTTACAGGATTATTTAAGGTTTCCTGTTTGAGCAGCTGGTCTACCATCCCAGGAGGCTGGGATGGGGATCGCGCTAGGAGCAGGGAAGGAGATTTTTCTTCGAAGCCTTTCATCAGTAGCTTTCATTTCTTGTCAGATGTCACTTCTCAGCAATACGGTCCTATATTTCCCCCTGATCAGACTGAGAGATGGGAATTCACTAAGGATTGAAGAATCACAAGGTCAGGCATTGTTGTCTGTTTTATTCACAGATGTCACCACAATCCTTAGAACACATGCGTCACATGGTTGTACTATGGCTAATACTTGTTGCATGAAGGAACAAATAAGAATGAAAAGAGTCTTCCTAGAGAAGAAGGAAAATGGATCAACAATCCAGAAAGAAAAGTAAAAGGAATAAATAGCAGAGCCATCTTCTGTGACCTGGGATGTCACAATACAGTCCGTCCTCTATATCCATGGGTTCTGCGTCTACAGGTTTAACCAACTATCAATCAAAAATATTTGAGAGGGCTGGGGTTGGGGCTCAGTGGTAGAGCGCTTGCCTAGCATGTGTGAGGCACTGGGTTCGATTCTCAGAACCACATATAAGTAAGTAACTCCCATTGACAACTAAATTTTTTTTTTAAATTTTGAGAAAAATCACACGTTTACAGACCTTTTTCCACATTATTGTTTCCTAAACAATACTGTGGACTGGCACAGTGGTGCACACTTGTAATCTCAGCAGCTTGGGGGGCTGAGGCAAGAGGATCCCAAGTCTGAGGCCAGCCTCAGCAACTTAGTGAGATCCTATATCCAAAAAAAAGGTTGTGGGGCTGGGGTTGAGGATGTAGCTCACTGGTATAGAGCACCCTGGGTTCAATCTCCAGTACTTTGTCCCTCAAGATACTGCATAACAACTATTCACATGGCATTTGTGTTGTATTAAGTATCAAAAGTAATCTCCAGATATTTTGAACTATATGGGAGGATGTGCAGGGGTTATATGAAAATATTGTAAAAGGGACTTAAGCATCTGAGGACTTTGACATTAATGGGGGTAGAAGGTCCTGGAATCAATCCTTTGAAGATACCAAGGAGCAACTGTATTCCCACTTCTGTTTGATATAGGCCAAGTACTAGCCAAATACAATTATGAATGACCAACTTTTTTTTTTTTTCTCAGTATTGGGGATTGGACCCAGTACCGTAGCTGTTAACTCCACTACTAAGCTAAACCCCACTCTTTTTTACTTTAAAATTTTGAGATAGGGTCTTAGGGTCTCCCTAGGTCACCCAAGCTGGCCTTGAACTTGTGATCCTCCTGCCTCTGCCTTTGAGATGGCTGGAATTATAGGCAGCACCACCATGCTTGGCTAGTGACTGACCAACTTTTGACATGGAGCAATTATGTTAAACCCCAATCTAATTCCCAGTCTTGTCACATTGGGGGTTGGGGACTTGGACTTGGTTTAGTGGTAGAACAGGAATTTGGCACGCATGAGACCCCAAGTTCAGTCCCCAGCATGTGTGCAGGACACACACACACACACACATCAACACCAGTTAGTTTAGTAGAAACTACTAAGTCACCTGTGGCTTATTTACCTAATGTCTATTCTCTTTGCTGGGTGTTACCCAGGAGGGCAGGAGGGATGGTTGTTGAGGACCCAGGATGCTAACCACCCTTTTCCTGTATGATGGCTTTACTTTCTTTCTTTCTTTTCTTTTTTTTTTTTTTTAAGTTGTAGTTGGACACAGTATCTTTATTTTATTTATTTATTTCTATGTGGTACTGAGGATCGTACCAAGGGTCTTGCACATGCTAGCAAGCGCTCTACCACCAAGCCACAACCCTGGCCTTTAGCTTTACTTTTCCTTAGCTCCTTCTACTCATTTTCTTGGACCTCTTATCCTGTGTTCTGTCTGCTTGCAGACAAGATGGATATGTGAGCGCCAAGGACCTTTTGTTCCTGCCTGTTCTGTTTCATGGGAATTAGCATCACCTGCTCAGTGGAAGGAACCTGGGGTCTGAAATAGGAGGACAGATCTGGATTGGAATTATACAACACAACCAATCAGGCAGTGAAGACTTTCCTGCCTTGTCGCTAAGCCTGGTAAACTAAGAAGAGCTTGAGTGTCCCTACCCCTACAGCTGTACTGTACAGAGCAGCTGAGGGTTTCTACAGGGGACACATGTAGGATCTGCCTGGCTTCAGGAAGTGAGAGGCCTGAATTCACACTTAATGGGCATCCAGTCCGCCTAAGTCCTACCTGAGAATCCGGTGTGGATTTACCAGTAGCCCCTCACCCGCCAACTCCCTGGGTTTGGAGAGAAGGAAGATCTATAACAGCAGCCAGAGGTGCCCCCTGAGCCTGGTGCTTGGAGCAAGGCTTCCCCTGGAGCTGGAGCTTCTGCCTAAGGCAAACTGGGAGCCCCAAACCTGGGAAGACAGGATTTGTGTAAGCGCATAAGAAAGAAACACACTGCTGTTGCTTTCAGCTACCTGGGAGTGGAAGGCCCTCCTGCAGAGGCCAAGGGGGCTCTGGGCTGTGCAGCAAGGCACCCAATTATTCATCCTGCTCCTCTCCTCCTTCCTCCCTGAACCCCACCCTCCCCTTTTCAAAGGAACAACCATCTGTGGGATGCTGCATCCATCACCCACTTGGCCCAGAGAGGATGCCAGCTCCTTACAAACCCTCCAGTAGGATCAGTGCTTTAAAATCATACCACATTGTCCAGCTGTCATCGACAGAGGAGGACAGGAACATTTGTCCAGGTGTCCCCTTGAGCTCTTTCTCACCCCCACAGCCATTTAAAGTGTCCCTCAAGGCTGCATTTAAAATATCACCTTACTGGGCCTGGGAGGAGCTTGGTGGGAGCCCCATTCAAGCACCAACACAACAACAACGGAAAAAACAAAGAACATCTCAAAAACACCTTACAGTTTGGTGTTTGTTATTTACCAAAATTAAATAAAAAACCTATGAACCATTTAAATAAATTTATTTTTATTATGAAAATTTGAAACAGTATCTCATTAAGTTGCCCAGGCTAGCCTGGAACTTGTGATGCTCCTGCTTTAGCCTCTCCAGTAGTTAGGATTGTAGGCATGTGCTCCAGAGCCCAGATTGTCTTTTTTTTCAATACTGAGCATTGAGCCCAGAGCTTCATGCATGCGAGGCAAGTGCTAACCTAGGAATCTCTCAAGAGTTTCAAATTGGTATCAACTTTCCTTTCTCAGTCCCCATCCTCCTCCTCATTCCTTGCCTGTTTAGTAAAGGCATGCACTTTTGCTAGTCTCATTAAATTCTTAAAACAACCCTGCAGAGGAGGTTATGATCTAATTCTGCAGATGAAAAGGAGAGGTTGATGTCCAAGTTCTCCCTGGGTGAGGCTGGCTTGGAACCTGGGTTCTTCCCACGAAAGCTTTGCTTATCTTTGAAAGGGCTCTCTTCTGCTTTTGTCCTTAAGATTCTCCTTTGAACCCTGTGAGAACAATGTCCTAGCCTGTATCTGAACCTTTCTTTGGCTAAATGTGCTTGGAATTCGGAGCTTGGGGGATTTTAGATTGTTAATACACGGCAGACCCAGCAATCAAGTACTTGGAGGGGTCTGCAAGAGAGGAGGTGCAGTCACACTGCAAATAGATCCAAGAACTGGTTTTAGGTAAAGGCTTTCAGAAATGTGGATGGGGTGATGTAGAGCCTCACGCATGCTAGGCAAGTGCTTTACAACTAAGCCTCAAGTTTCTTTTTTTTTTTTTTTCTTTTTGTGGTATTGGGGATTGAACCCAGGGCCTTGTGCATGAAGGCAAGCACTCTACCAACTGAGCTATATCTCCAGCCCTCAAGTTTCTTTTTTAAAACTGAAAGTGAGCCTGGTGCAGTGGTCTAAGCCTGTAATCCCAGTGATTCTGGAGGCTGAGGAAGGAGAATTGCAAATTTGAAGCCAGCCTCAGCAACTTAGTGAGGCCCTAAGCAACTTAGACCCTGTCTCTAAATAAAAAATAAAAAAGGGCTGGGGATATGGCTTAAGCACCCCTGGGTTCAATCCCCAGTACTTAAAAAAAATAAAAATAAATGAAAGAAAAAGCAAAAAGAAATGTGCAAGGAAGAATGATGTCCCACCCCAACCTTCCCACCCTTGGAGCAGTAAAAGCTCCCACCAGGGGACATCTTCCTGCAGAGGCATCTCAAATTCTGGCCCTCAGTCCCTCCTATGGAGGGTGGCCATGTGTGGTGACACAGTGGCCGTAAGTGTGCCAAGTTTTACATCTTTAAGGGAAGGAAAGCTCCAGTATAGTACTTCTAACACTTGTCAACTGGTTTATCACAGTGTGCCCCACACTATATGGGGAGGCATCCATTTTTGGCTTTCATTATGATGGTAAGAGCGGCATTCCTAGAAGTCCTGTTTTGGTACTGGGGAGTGAACCAGGTTACTGGGGTGCTCAACCACTGATCCACATCCTCAGGCCATTTTATATATATTTATTTGCTTAGGTCCTCGTGAAATTGCTGCAGTTCCCAAGTTGCTAGAATTACAGGTCTGTGCCACTACACCACACTTAATAGGGGCTTTTAGCTGTTTCCTTGCGTGTTTTTTTTTTTTTTTTGTATTGGGGATGCAAGTCACGACCTTGCATGTGTTAGGTAAGAGCTCTACTGTGGATCTACCGCCCCCACCCCCTCAGGCCCGTGTGTACATTTTTTAAACTCACTTCTCCAACATTCTCTGATCCGCCTTTTCTTTCTCATCCTCTACCCTACCCTCAGGCCACAGTCTGACTTCACAGCAAAATAAATAAAGCAGTTTTTACCTTGGCCCACTATAATTTGTACTGACAGGAGGGCAGCCTCTTGCTAGGTGCAGCTGGGTGCCAGCTGATTTGATGCAGCTCAGGGAACTGTCTAAAGTTTATCTGGAAGGGCACTCTTTATTCATTAAAACTACCTAGTGCACAGTTTGCCAATCCTGCATGCCCCTCCCCCCGCTTTTTTTAACCAGAGATTAATTTGGAGGCACTTAGCCACTGAGCCAGATTCCCAGACCCCGCCCCCGACTTTTCCCAAAGTTTGAGACTGGCCAGGTACATTGGCCGACCCCTGTAATCCCAGCAGGAGGATTATGAGTTCAAAACCAGCCTCAACAATTTAGAGAGGACCTAAGCAATTTAGCAAGACCCTGTCTCTAAATAAATAAAATATTTAAAGAGGCTGATGATGTGACTTAATGGTTAAATGCCACTGGATTCAATTCCCAGTACCAAAAAAAAAAAAAAAGAGAGAGACTGGGTCTTGCTAAAATGCTTTGGGCTTCACTGAATTGCTGAGGCTGGCTTTGAACTTGATCCTCCTGCCTCAGTCTCCTGAGCTGTTGGGATTACAAGTGTCCAGCACAGCTCCCAGCTCCAATCCCATTTTATTTTATTGGGGGGGGGGGTACTAGGGATTGAACTCAGGAGCACTCAACCACTGAGCCTCATGTCCAGCCCTATTTTGTATTTTATTTAGAGAGGGTCTCACTGAGTTGCTAAGCACCTTGCCATTGCTGAGGCTGGCTTTGAACCCGTGATCCTCCTGTCTCAGCTTCCGGAGCTGCTAGGGTTATAGGCCTCCGCCTATAATCCCATTTTAAAATACATTTTTTTTGTAATGCAAAAAAAAAAAGAAAAAGTACATGTATAAAGACATGAATTGGTGTGAACATACTTCATATAAAAGATATGAAAAATTGTGCTCTGTATGTGTAATAAGAATTGTAATACATTCTGCTGTCATGTATTTAAAAAAATACAATCAATTTAAAAAATGATATAAAAATGCATGCTTTTATGCCACAGTTTCAACACAAATGATAACAGAAATCCATGGAACAGAGCTTAAATTATAGAATAAAGTGGGGTTAGGGGTGTAGCTCAGTGGCAGAGCTCTTTCCTAGAGTTCACCAGGACCTGGGTTCGATTCCCCAGCCCCCTTCAAAAATAAAACGAAAACAAACCCTACAACCTGATGTGAAGGTAGACAGATATACTAGTAAACTACAGACATAAATAGTTAAAGAACTAGATGTTTTTATGACCTAAGACAAGCACAGCACTGTCTCCTGGTGTGGATTATAGCCTAGTTTTCAAAAGGAATCGTAAAAAGTAAAGGCAATAAAATATGATTTTATTTATTATTTTATTTTTAAATTTCTATCATTGCAGGTCAAAGATTTTATTAAATAATAACTTTGAGAAAAAGCAACTATTAACACTGCAAACCTACTAAACCAGTGGATATCAAGATATTGTGTGTGGTAGTTGGGGCTGACCCTGCTCATGATTACAACTGCTCCATTACTGTGGCTTAGGTCTGAAGGGACCCCAGTAGGTCAAAGCTCAGGTTCAGGAAATACAGGAAAAACTCGGAGGGAAGTAGAACTAGTCTGTGGATCGAAATTAGCAATAAAAGATTGGAAAAAGGATCACAGGGAAGTGAATAATTTTGGCGGTCGCTGCTCCAAGGTTCAGCCCTTTTGCAGTTTCTGATAACCTTGTCAGGTCCCCCAGATAAAGGCAAGTCTTGTCACCCTTGGGCACCTGGCTGAGAGGTAATAAAACGGTTGCCTTATCTCCTACAGGTGGAGTTAAGTCAAACCTCAGCCTGCGGTAATTACAGTACCCAGGAATTGCCAGTCCCTTTCCAAAAAAGAGTGGGGGAAGGGAGACTAGAAAAAGCCAGAAGGCAGGAAATTGTGTTTGTCTCTCTTCTAGGATTTAAAAAAGAAAGCAAGCAGAACAGCAAGAAGTTTTCCAGGGAGTGAGAAAAACAGGTGGGCTAGCCTCCCCTCCTCTGGGGTTAACAGGATTGCCCACAGATCTGGCCCACGTGATGGTCAAGAAAAGAGGCTCCAGCTGAGGAAAACCCAGGAAATCTTCTTAGGAACCTTCCTTTCTAAATGTAAATGACTGAGTCATTGCTTTGCTAAGGAGGAGAGGAAGTTGCAATCATCCAGTGACTCACTCGCTGCTGTGAGCTCAGGCAGTTGGATAAAAAGTTTTTAGCAAAAGCGGCAACAAATCTGCTTTAAATACTAGCCCAGTAAGGGAATTCCTCTCTTTCGGGATGAATGCCATCCACACAAAAGAGCTCCTGTTGACGTCTCTTTTACAATCTCCCCCAGGACACAGACAAGACCTTTTCAATAAACCCGGCTCAGAAACACCTATTATTCAAAATCTTCCTCTAGCAAGAGGCTTTCACCACTCCCTACGGCTTTGCAAAATAAAAGATTTAGATGGAGAAGGATTGGGACTAGGGAAGCTGTGGAAAGAGGCAGGAAAGAAGTCCCTTTGACCTGGTGTGGTCTGAGAGTGTGCAAGAAGAAGAAAGTTAATGGTCTTTCCATTTTTCTAAGTGTCCAAGAAATGCTGGTGACTGTCTTGGACCAGTGACTGTGGATTCTAAACTGGATGCCAACTAGGTAAAGAAAGTAACTCCTGCCAACAGGATTGCTCAATGAAAAACCCAGGCCGAACCGAACCTATTCCCAGCCTTACAAAAGCCCTAATAGCAGCCCTGGGAAAGCACAGGTAAGTCTTTGATCTGAGCTGTTCCATGTAGAATCTTCTAGCTCAGCTCTCTGCCCACTCTGGTCCGCTAAATTCCTCTCCATCATTTCCACAAGGTGACTCCCTCTCTGAATAACACTGGATTATTTTCTGGAATTATATATAATACTGCTCTTGGAATAGGCCTCAGATTAAGGAATCTATTTGTGTTTACCAAAAAAGTGAATGAAAGGAAGGGCATTTTAAAAATACTCATTATCTTTACCCTCCCAGTAGATGGTCAGTTCACCTTCCCCAGCTCACTACCTGACCTTTTATCTTTAATTCCTTGGGTCTTTCTCTCCTATCTCTTAAGCCCCTCTGGAATCATTCACTGTCCTCTTTGTACCTTTCTCTGTCCCTAGATCCTACTGTGCATCATCTCCTGTCTCTGGTGTCCTGGTAACTCCCTAACTCCAAGTTTCTCCATCTTCGGAGCTGTGACTTATTAATGAGTCATGACATCAGCTGAGGTGAGTCAAACCGCTTCACCATGTAGAAAACGAAAATGATTCAATAGGAAACATTAGCATGCACCATGTAGGAAAAGTACTGTTATGTGTACCCAGAGTGGGCAACAGGAAGAGAGGCAGTTTGTTGGTCAAAATATCTGGAGAAATACCTTTCTCATTGTTCTCACTGGGTCGACCTTGTCCCTGCTTCCAAACCCTTGTAGACAATCAGAGCAATAGTTGGGAATGTGTCACAGATCTGTCACTCCAGCTTGCTCTTCTTCCCCCAGGAGAAAGTCTCCCATCTGGGCCTCAGGGGATTCCTGCTAACCTGGTTCCTCTTCTCCTTCCTGAGCACTTTTTAAAAGTTATTCAGTCTACCACATTCCCTGGCTGTGCACCTGTTCCCTCTGCAGGGACATTCTTTCCTTTTCTTTCTATTTTGAAATCATCTTAGGTCTCACTGCTTCCAGGAAGACATCGGGATCATCCCTCTGGATGCCTCTTCTAGTTCTTACAAGGCTGAACTTCACTGACAGAGCGCTTGCTACATGGTGGTTGTCTCCCAGTTCCCAAAAGCACTCTCAGCCCCGAGGGGGCATTCAGTAAATATCCGTTGTGCATCGAGTGCTGCATGTCCTACCTACACAGTTCACATCTCCTTGCGACAGATCAATTTGGATAGTTCATTAGAAAGTATCTTAGCCAGGTGCACACGCCTGTCATCCCCACGGCTCAGGAGGCTGAGGCAGAAGGATCCCAAATTCAAAGCCAGCCTCAGCAACTTAGCAAGACCCTAAGCAACTTAGCAAGACTCTGTCTCAATGTAAAAAATAAAGGCCTGGGGTTGTAGATCAGTGGTAGAGCACTTGCCTAGCATGTGTGAGGCACTGGGTTCAATTCTCAGCACCACATATAAAACAAATCAATAAAGTCCATCAATAACTAATAAAAATATTTTAAAAATTACAACAGACAGGGGATGTGGCTCAGTGGTTAAGTATTCTGGGTTCAATCCCTGTTACAAAGGGAAAAAAAAGTACCTTATCTCTGTTTCTCAAAATTTTTGTTTTTATTTTACACTTCCCCATCATCCCCAGTTTATTTGTGTTTCACATACAACCTAATTAATTTTGAAATTTACAGAACTCTTAAAAATCAAAATAATAAGACTGGAAGAAAGCTACTGGACTTCTTTGCTGCTAACTCACCCTCCCTTGTCTCAGATCTTTCATATGTAAATGGAAGGTCAGAACTCAATAATCTCTAAAATCCCTTCCAATCTAATACTTTAACCCTCTAACTTGATTTTTCTCCTTGGGAAAGGTTAAACAGCTTTTTAATAGCAGGAAATTATTTGCCTTTCTATGGATTTTTGAAAACAAGCAACATGTTCCCTGGTAACATGCAAGGGCATGTCCCCTCTCTGCTTGGCATTCAAAATGTTAAAGAGTAGCCTCACCTAAATGGTTAAGATATTCACTAGTATGTAATCTTTCTTGATATTGACAGAACCCAGAACATCTGGTGACACAGAACCCAAAAAGCTTATCCAGGAAATATTCTCACTTGTTTTACCTTTAGATGGAGAGATCTTCGAATTTTATTTATTTATTTATTTTTGTTTTGAGACAGGGTCTTATAACATTGCGCATCCTGGCCTGGAACTACAGGTGTTATGGTTTGGATGTGAGGTGTTCCCCACAAAGCTCATGTGTGAGATAATGGGATTTGGAACTGTGGCTGCTATCTGTGGACCATCGACCTCATCTGGCTTCATTGTAAATCTCATCTCATTTTGCTTGGTATAGTTCTATTCTAATGCTCTTGGCTAAAAACTGAACAATTAGCCATCAGGTAGACCTTTGCTTACTACTCTTATCTTCTTGAGTTCAATTATTCTTTATGGCAAATTCTATTATGCAAGAGATTCTCAGCTGTGGTAGCCCAACTGCCTTTGTTGGTAACATGGTGGGTGACTAGTGGGTCTCTGGACATGCTACCTCCAAATATGGCACCTTGGCATTTGAGGAAAAAAAAACAGAAGGAGGAAGGCTATTCACTTTTCCCTGGTAACATGCAAGGGCATGTCCCCTGTCTGCTTGGCATTCAAAATGTTAAAGAGTAGCCTCACCTAAATGGTTAAGATATTCACTAGTATGTAATCTTTCTTGATATTGACAGAACCCAGAACATCTGGTGACCTTCAGGGTACACCAGACTATGCAGCACCCTTCCTTATTCTTTTATCCTGTGCCTCAACTGACACAAAACATGTAAATTGCTGTGGCTTTCACCTTGCAGAAAAGTAATGTCTATCTAGAGAACCATAGGAAGTAGCCCCAGGAAGTTCAGGTCCATTGTAATATGCCCACCTGAGAAAAAAGGAGAGACACACCCTGGATGATGAAGCCCCTGCTCAAGTGTCTCCTTCCTGCCCATTGGTCCCGCCTCCTTTCCTTTCCTATGAAAACCCTTTGTACACCTGATCCAGAAAGTGGTGCGCTCAGAGTATAGCCTCTGCACCCATCTTCTCAAGATGCCAGATCCTTAATAAAACTGATTTCTGATGGGCTTGGGGGTGCACACCTGTAATCCCAGCGGCTTGGGAGGCTGAGGCAGGAGGATAGTGAGTTCAAAGCCAGCCTCAGCAAAAAGCAAGGCACTAAGCAACTCAGTGAGACCCTGTCTCTAAATAAAATAAAAAATAGGGCTGGGGATGTGGCTCAGTGGTTGAGTGCCCCTGAGTTCAGTTCCCAGTCAACCGCCCTACCTCCAAAAAAAACAAAAAACAAACCTGATTTCCTTCCCACCAACTCACCTCTACCTCTACCAAGTATTGGCTTTGGAGCATCAAGGAGCCAGAGTTGGGACAAGTAATACCCACCCTTCTTCCCTGAGCTGACCATCTGAGTGACTGCAGATCAATCCCTCTCTTCTCTGAAGACCCTCAGGTGACAGGTATCCTGCCCTATGCCCAGAGGGGAGGGCTGTCCAAGAAGCATACTGTGAAGAATCTGAACCCTCCTGGCTAAGCTCCCAGCAGATTTTTAGATCCCACCCTTTGTCCTCCAATCATACTTATGTTCTACCATCATAAAAATACACACATTTCTCATTTTCTTTGGATCTTCATTTCTGAAGGCTCCCATGTCATGTAGAAATAAATTTCTATGCTTTTCTCCTGTTAAATCCATCTTTGGTTATAAGCTGGTCAGTCAAGAGTTGGGTAAGGAAAAGATAGTACTTTTTCTGCCTTATATTGGAAAAGGAAGTATCTGGAATACTGTCAGAACTGGTGCAAATCCTGACCAGCCACTTTTAAGCCACATGACCTTAGATTATATATTATACTTCTCTGTGTGTGTGTGTGTGTGTGTGTTTTGGGGATTGAACCCAGGCCCTTGCACATGCTAAACATACACTCAAGCACTGAGTTACACACCTGTAGACCTTACAGATTATTTAATTACTTTATCCCCCGTGTCTTTATCTGTTGTGTTTGGATAACATCGCCTATCTCAGCGTAATGGGGTGAATGGAGAAGTTCTTAAGTTAGATGACAGCGTGGCACATACCATCTGACTCTTTTTCTTTTTCTCACTAAATTCAAATGATACAATAACCATCTTGAAAACTCCCTGAGGGAATTTTACCTGAAGGGAATGGATTTCACACTTCAAAGATGCTTTGAAGAGCTCTGTACATAACACACCTTCTTCTTTACCTTTTTTTTTTTTTTTTTTTTTGCATGGGGATTGAATCCTGGAATGCTTAACCACTGAGCCACATCCTCAGCCCTTTGTATTTTATTTAGAGACAGGGTCTCACTGAGTTGCTTAGGGCTTTGCTTAGTTGCTGAGGTTGGCTTTGAACTATCAATTCTTTTGTTTCAGTCTCCTGAGCCTCTGGGATTATAGGCATGTGCCATTCCTCCTGGCCCTTTCTATTTTTATTTATTTATTTATTTATTGGAAACTGAGTCTTAAATTGCAGAGGGCTTCATTAACTTTCTGAGGCTGGCCTCAAACTTGTGATCCTCATGTGTCAGCCTCCCAAGTTGCTGGGATTATAGGTGTGCACCACTGCACCCAGCAAAAGGCCTTTTCTTTCTTTCTTATTTGTTCTTTTTTTTAGATATACATGAAAGTAGAATGCATTTGGCATATTATACATACGTGGAGTATAACTTATTCTAATTAGGATCCCATTCTTGAGGTTGTACGTGACGTGGAGTTACACTGGTTGAGTATTCATATATGAACACAGGAAAGTTATGTCTGATTCATTGTCCTGTCTTTCCTATTCCCATCCCGCTCCCTGCCCTTCATTCTCCTTTGTCTAATCCAGTGAACTTCAATGCCCCTCCCCCATGCCTTTTCTTAATGATTGATATTAAAACTTCATCTTCCTCTGGTCTCAACTCGTTCCTCCTCTCTTTACAGAGGCCTTCCTGGGCCACTCATCTTGAGCGGACCACTCCCTTCCATCCCAGTGTAACAGTGGCCGCTCCTTGGGGAATTGTCCTTGGCAAAGTTACTTTACCTCTCCTCCCTAGGCCCTTCCACTAGGCTGTTTCCCTTCCCTAATCCTCTTTCAAGGTTTATATCCCTTCCTTTTGCCCTTCATTTTAAATTCTAAAGGGAAGCCCTAACTAAATGGTTGATGTTAATTGCTATATAATCTTTCTTTAAATTTACAGAACCTAGAACCAGTGGAGACCTTTGTTACACCACCTCCTTAGTCTTTAGTTCTGTGCTGCAACTAACAAAGCTGCGAGATTTAATTTCCAAAAAAGTAATCTGTCTGCCTAAAGAACTATAGGAACTAGCTGCAGGAGGTTAAGGTCCATTTGGATATTCTGGCCAAGAAAAGAAGACACACACCTGGATGATGAAGCCCCTGTCCCAGCATGCAGCCTTCCTTCCCTGCTTCTCCTTCCCCTCCCTGTAAAAGCTCCTTGCATTGGGCGCCGTGGTGCGAGGCAGACATCCCAGGGGAGGCTACAGCAGGAGGATAACAAGTTTGAGACCAGCTTTGGCACCTTAGCAAGATCCTGTCTCAAAATAAAAAGAGCTGAGAATGTAGCTCAGTGATAGAGTGCTTACTTACCCAGCATGTGTGAGACCCTGAGGTTCAAAACACATAAACAGGGGCTGGGATGTGGCTCAAGCCGTATTGCGCTTGCCTGGCGTGCGTGCGGCCTGGGTTCGATCCTCAGCACCACATACAAACAAAGATGTTGTATCCGCCGAAAACTAATAAATAAGTATTAAAAAATTAAAGAAAAAACAAACAACAAAAAAAAAACACATAAACAAACAAGAACCTTCACACCCTGAGCCCTCTAAGATGGAGCATTGAGGTTCATAGCCCCTTTGTCTTCTCAAGAGCTTGGCCTTTGGATAAGCTCAATGCCTTCCTACATCTCTTTCTCTGTCTCTGCCTCTGTGTGTGTGTGTGTGTGTGCGCGAGAGTGTGTGGCTGGGGATGCATCCAAGCCCTCACTTGTGCTACGCAAGTGCTCTACCACTGAGCTGCATCCCTAGGCCTCCCTCCTACCAACTCTCATCTCGCCAGGATTGGCTTTTTTGTTGATATTTGGTACTGGGGATTGAACCTAGGGCTGCTTTACCACTGAGCAACATCCCCAGCCCTTTTTACATTTTCGTTGTTGTTGTTTTGAGACAGGATCTCACTATGTTGCTGAGCCTGGCCTTGAATTTGTGATCCTCCTGTCTCAGCCTCTCAAACTACTGGGATAAATGTGTACCACTGTACCTCACTAAATATTGGTCATTGAGCAGTCAGAAGCCTGGACTCATTGCCCTTACTGATTTGAGAAGATACATAGAAAAAATTAAATTGTTTGTGATACTTGGGGGTGGGGGTAGCACAGTAGTCAGGAGCTTGCCTAGCATGCATAAAGCCCTGGGTTCGATCCCTAGCAAAAAAAGGAAAAAAGGTGAATGTAAAGATCTTTCTTTTTTTTCTATCTCTTTCTCCCCCCATCCCCAACCCCACCCTTTCTTAGCTAAAACTGTGACCACGGGATGGAGAGTGGTGGCTTATTCATTCTTCTCTTTAATTCAGAATTTCCGATTCGGTGCCACTGTGTTTGATGCAGCCCTCAGTAGCCTTCCAGTTGCTGCTGTCTCCAGACCCCTGGCTGCAGATCAGCAGCTTCACTCTCCCCCTTGATCATGCCCTCTGGAGTCTATCCAAGGCCTTCCCCAGTCTTTCTCATGACCATACTGACCTCACCCCATTGCAGTCACATAGCATGACTGGCTCTGGCCTCTGCTTTATTGTAGTTGGAAAATTTAGAGATTGCCACAAATTTCTGATATCTTGCAGAATGATTTCCAGTCAGTGGTTTCCAACTTTTTTCATGCTCTCTATGTCCTCTGTTAGCTCAGAAAGGACAAAAAAAAACCAAAACAAAATCTTTCAAGTATGTCTCTTTTTGCCTCCATGGTCAACACTAATGGTTTCCAGCCAGTGCAGGTTGGAGGGCACAATGTGAGTAGAACCAGCAACTTGGTTCTACTCTGTGCAACTTCAAGTATGCACTTGAGAATTTATCATTGTAGGTCCTCTTTAAGCTTTGCTGCAGCCTGTCAACCAGAGTGCCCATGTTACCATGGTAACGGGTAGGATACTAGCCCTAAACTTATTCATCACATTACCAAAAATCTATCAAACTGCATGATATTTAAGCATTTGAGTTTTGACTGGGTGTTGTGTCGCGTGCTTGTATTTCCAGTCACTTAGGAGGCTGAGGCAGGAGGATCACAAATTTAAGGCCAGCCTCAGCAATTTAGTGAGGCCCTAAGAAGCTTTAGTGAGCTCAAAATAAAAATAAAAAGGACTGGGAATCTAACTCCATGGTAGAACACTCCTGGATTCAATCCCCAATACCACAAAGAAAAATAAAAAGAACATAATCTTTGGATACAGACCTTGATTTAAAAGCGTGTTACCTAGGGAAGGTTGCTTAAACTTTTTAACCATATGGTTTTTACTCTGTAAAATGCAGATAAGAATGAATAACTTCCTTCTAGAATTATTGGGAGGATGAAATGAAAATAATAAATGTGAAATGCTCAACAGAGTATCTGACACATATTAAATGGGGCCAATAAATGATACTTAACATAAATAAGTGCATAAGGGAAATAATTCTCTTTGTTTTGTTTTAGCAGCCAAGCCTGGTGCCCTATGGCTCTGTGCAGAAGACACAAGAAAATTTTAAACTGTGTATTTCTTCCACACCAAGGTAGTCAAACTAGGCTATCCATCTTCATGGCAGCCAAATATATCAATTATCTTGCATAGTGCCAAGTAGGTGATACTTGATAAAACAAATGGGATTACAGGCTAAGTCTCTCCTGTTTAGTTCAGTTATTAGTGGTGTTTCTTTTATATATATATATATATATATATATATATATATATGTGTGTGTGTGTGTGTGTGTGTGTGTGTGTGTGTGTGTGTGTAAATTCTCATTTCACATATCTTTGAATTAATAGTTTCAGTCAAGTAGTTCTGAAACATTGAACATTTATATGTATTAGTCAGCTTTCCATTACTGTGACAATATACCCAAAGTAAGCAACTTAAAAGAGAAAAGGTTTATTTTGCCTCATGGTTTCAGTACATGGTTGCTCGACCCTGTTGCTTTGGGCCTGTGACAGAGAACACATGGCAGAGGAGGCCTCTTCACCTCATGGAGGCTAGGAAGCAAAGAGAGACAGGATGTGGCCAGAGTCCTAATATCCCCTTCAAGGATACTTCCCTAATGACCTAACTTCTTTTCACTAGGTCTCCTAAAGGTTGAAGTACAACCACAGGGCTGCCATTCAAGCCTTCAGCACATGGACCTGGATGGGACATTTAAGATCCAAACTCCAGTAACATCTTTTATACAATTTTATTTTTAGTTATTCTCCAGATGTTTACATGAGTTAGAAATAAGCAAAACAACAAAAGCTTTTATGATACATATACATGCATACATATTTATATATATATACACACACATATATGTGTATACATGTGTATAAATTTGTGTGTTTGTGTGTATGTGTTTTGCTAGGGATTGAATCCAGGGCCCCCCATGCATGCTACTAGGCAAATGCTCTGCCCCTGAGCTACAGTCTTACTCTAAATATACTTTGAACTCTGTCACTTTTCTACTGATAATATAAGAAGGATTAGATTAGGAACTATGTTTAAAAAAAAAAAAAAGGTTTGCGCTTTAGTAAATTACTGGTAGCACAGGTCTCTAAGTTGCTGAGAGGCTGGCCTCAAACTTGAGATCTTTCTGCCTCAGTCTCCTGAGTTGCTGAGATTACATGTGCTGATTGCTATTGTTTTAAAGCACTAAGTTTTGGGGGTGATTTTTTACATAGAAATGGATAGAATAAAGCCAATCGCAGTGTGCATGCCTATAATCCTAGCGGTTTGGGAGGCTGAGACAGGAGGATTGCGAGTTCAAAGCCAGCCTTAGTAATGGCAAGGTGCTTAGCAACTCAGGGAGACTCTGTCTCTAAATAAAATACAAAATAGGGCTGGGGATGTGGCTCAGTGGTTGAGTGCCTCTGAGTTCAATCCTCAGTACCAGAAAGGAAGGGAAGGGAAGGGGAAGGTGGAGGGGGAGGGGGAGGGGGAGAGAAATGAATAGAATATTGTCCTAAAACTTGGGAGTGGTAGATTTAAACCTAAGCTGGCAACTTGGTCTGACTAGTTCATGATTGTCTTCCAGAGTCTTTTAAAAAAAATTTAACCATTTGTAAGCATACACTTCTACAGTGTTAAATATGTTTGAACTATTGTACAACCTCCATCCATCTGCAGAACATTTGTCATTGCACACTGGAAGTCTGTATCCATTAAATATCAACTCTCAGGGCTGGGTATGTTACTTAGTGACAGAGCACATGTTTAGCAAGGTTCTAGGTTGGATCCCCAACAAAGTAAAAAAGAAAACTCCTCATTCTTTCACCCCTATAGCCCCTGGCAACTACCATTCTTCTTTCCATTCCTATGATTTTTTTTTTTTTTAACCAGGAGTTGAATTCAGGGCTACTTAACTACTGAGCTACATCCCCACTCCTTTTTTTATTTTTATTTTTTTTAAATATTTTATTTACAGACAGGATCTTTTTTTTTTTTTAAATTTATTTATTTTTTAGTATTTGGCGGACACAACATCTTTGTCTGTATGTGGTGCTGAGGATCGAACCCCGGGCCGCACGCATGCCAGGCGAGCGCGCTACCGCTTGAGCCACATCCCCAGCCCCAGACAGGATCTTATGAAGTTGCTTAGGGCCTCATCAACTTGCTGAGGCTGGCTTTGAACTTCTGATCCTCCTGCCTCAGCCTCCTGAGAGTCTCTATGAATTTGACTACTCTAGGTTCCTTTATATAATTGGAATCACACAATATTTGTCTTGTGTGTGTGTGTGTGTGTGTGTGTGTATGTGTGAGAGAGAGAGAGAGAGACTGGGTTATTTCAAACACAATATACTAATAAATAATGTGTATTCATTTGTATATAAATTCATTAATAAAAGTTATATATATTTATTTATTTAATCCAGGTCCCATATGTCCAAGAAGCAACATGCCCAAGGCAGGATAAGGAAGGAAGGAAGGAAGGAAGCAGTGTCTCTAAGAACCACAGTTCACAGTGTCGGGCCTCTAAAGAGATCTGAAGAAACAGAAACCCATGAATCAAGAATAAGATAAGGCTATTTGGTTTGTTTCAACCTGTGTGCCGTTTAGTTCCCTATCAGAGCCCTGCCTGGAGAATGAAATCATTTCCATCACTCAGCCCTTCCAAAGATCATCAAACACAAACACACCGTCTGCTCTTTCATTTCCTCTGTGTCCAGGGTGTGTACTGACTTGGTGGAATTTCTGGGACCAGCTGTGGATTACGTATCAAACAAAAAAACGGCCGGAAGTTGGCTCTGGGGAGAGTGAGCCTTAAATGCTGTTTGCTTACCCTGACTAGGAGTGAGCCTCTGGTGGCTTCTTAGACTGTCTCTGCCTTCCTCCCAGCCTAAGGGACATATGAAAAGGCAGTTCTGGGGTGTGGGACCTACTTTCAATGATTTGGTTCTCCTCTCACCACATTCACCCTTATTGTACCTAGACCAGCTGCTACACCTGGAAAGGATGGAAGTGATCTTTTTTAATCTCTCAAGGTCTTACCCCACTGTCCTGGGCTGAATTATGTCCCGCCTAATTCATACGGTGAAGTCCTAACCTAACTCTCAGTACCTCGGAAGGTAACCATCCTTGGAGAGGGGCTTTTTAAAGAGATGGTCAAGTTAGGAGGAGCTCATTAGGGTGGGCCCTACACCAGAATGACTGGTGTCCTTAGAAGAAGAGATCTGGGTGCACAGGTACAGATTAAGGGAGAGAGGGAGAGGACAGCCTCCTGCAAGCCAAGCTCAGAGGCCGCTGACACCCTGATCTTGGACTCAGCCTCCAGAGTGTGAGAAAATACAGTCTTGTTGTTGAAGCCACCCTGTCTGTGGTGCTTTGTCACAGACCGAGACACCTATCAATGGGAAGTTCACAGCCCTGATGTTGGACTTCAGAAAAGTTTTGAAAGTAATAACCAAAAATATCCAAAGGCAAAAATCTGGTGTTTTGGTAAAGATTTTTTTTTTTTTTTTACCGACTTCAGCAGGTCTAACGGAGGCAGTGAAGGCTAGGACCCAGAATGCCCAGAGAGCAGTAGGGTCACTTACTAGGTGTCTGGGGCATGATCAAGAGACACTTCATAGCTTGGCACTTGTAATCCCAGCAGCTTGGGAGGCTGAGGCAGGAGGATTGAAAGTTCAAAACCAGCTTCAGCAACTTAGTGAGGCCCTAAGCAACTCGGTGAGATCCTATTTCAAAATTAAAAAGAATAAAAAGGGCTGAGGATGTGGCTCAGTGGTTAAGGGCCCTGGTTCAATTCCTGATACCAAAAAAAAAAAAAAAAGTTACTTCATCCCTTCAATCCCTCTCCTCTTCTCCTGCTGTTACTCTTTGACTCTTCTTCCCCCCAGCCCTTCCCACAACACTGCTTTATTATCCAGTAAGTCAGAAGAAAGGAGAAATTTGCATTTGCCCTTCTGACATAGCATTGTGCAAATCCTGATGCTGTTTTGGGTATTTTTGTTGGGCGGGCTGGGGGGTTGATATGGGTTGAAGAGGCAGCTGCTGGAGTCTAAGCAGGGGGGTGAATGGGTGGGTGGCAGGCAGAGGGGCCCCTAAAGATGGTGACATCCTAATCTATGACTGTTATCTCACATGACAAGGGGGACTTTCATGATGTGATTAAAATCTTAAAATGGAATGGTCATCCTTGATTATCTCAGTGGGGTCAGTGTAATCACATGGGTACTTATAAAAGGGAGGCCAGAAGTTCAGAGACAAAGGAGACCAGGGAAAGGGGGTGGGGAGGTTTGAAGATCTATCCTGCTGCTGGCTTAGAGGATGGAATTAGGGGCCACCAGCCAAGGAATGCAGGTAGATTGTCAGGGACAATAAACCACTGAGCCACATCCCCAGACGTATTTTGTATTTTATTTAGAGACAGAGTCTCACTGAGTTGCTCAGCATCTTGCTGTTGCTGAAGCTTTGAACTTGTGATCCTCCTGCCTCAGCCTCCCAAGCCACTGGGATTATAGCTGTGTGACACTGTGCCTGGCTGCAGGTAGCTTTTTGGAGCTGGGAAAGGTAGGTAAATGGATTCTCCTTTTAGAACCTCAATAAAAAGAACACAGCCCTGATGACTCATTTTTCGACTCCTGACCCCCAGAACTGTCAGTTATTTGAGTTGTTTTAAGTGACCAAGTTTGTGGAGTTTGTTGCAGCAACCACAGGAAACCAAAACAGGATCAAGATCCTTGAGAACGGCTGCTATGACATTTAGACAGGCGGTACTCAGAGCTCAGAAAACAAAACGCAACGAAAAAGAGACAAAGCTTCCATGCCTTAAAAACAGGGTGCTCAAACGGTGGTCTCCCTGCCACAGTGCAGCAGCACCTGCGAACTGGTGGGTCCAGTCCTCTCAGGCTCCCCCAGCACTGTGGGATCATAAACTTTGGCAATGGGTCTGGTGACGGGCCCTTCCCAGGGTTCTGCTGCACACTAAGGTTCCCTGTAGAAAGATGTGAATGGGGCTTCTTCTTGGTGGATGGAGGGTACCTGTGGACCCTGTGTGTTTGTATTTATGCATGCGCATGCTTGTGTGTGTGTGTGTGTGTCTTGGGTGCATAGGCTCCCACTGAATGCACAATTACAATGATTATTTCATAACTTAAGCTTGGGTTGGAATCTTGGAAGGATGGGGGCCAAGTCATTCTCCCAAAGATGGGCTCTGTGGGAGGAGGGAGAGCCCAGAATTCAGCTTCCATGTGCTCACAGTCCCTGCCTCTTCAGGCTGTGCTGGTGTGAATCAGAGTGGATCCTGGTGACTGCCCGCACTATCCCCTTACTTGTCCCAGCCTGGGGCTTCCTCTAACTTTCCCCTCTCTCTGCCTGAGGCAATCCTAAACTGGCTAGGTGGGAAGATAAAGTACTCACTTTCAAAATGCTAGTGACCCTGTAAAGGTTGAAATCACACAGATATTGATTCCTGGATGTGTCTCTTAGTAGCTGGGTGACCATGGGTGCTTAGTTTCTGAGTCTCTGTGTATTTATCTGTAAAATGGGTACGCTGAAAACATGCCCTGCTAGAAGCACTGGGAAGACTAAATGAGGTCAAGTACATTAAAGTCCTTTTGTGAAGGACCCAGAGAAAGGAAAAGCTTAATACTGTGGTTCTTATGTAATGAATTATAATTAATATCTATTGTCATTTATATCAGCCTTATTTCCAAGCGTCACATGTTAGGAATACACATAAATACACGTAAGTTCAAGTTCACCTACATAAGGAATTCAATTTTTTTTTTTTTTTGGTAGTAGGGATCCAACCCAGGTCCTCACATATGCTAGGCAAGGGCTCCCACTGAACTGTGTCCACAGCCCTTGGGAGTCTTTTCACAGAGATTTGGAGAACCTGGCATGCAGGAGGCCCTGACTTGGATCCCCAGCACAGAAGGGGGAAGGAAAAAAGTGCCCTGGGGACTTAAGGTGTTCCTCGGGCTCCTGCTAATGGACCTTTTTGCAGCGGGGTGGGCCTGCACGGGGACCTGGCAGCATCTCAGCACAGCTGCTCGGGTACCTCACTGCCTGCATTCCTCTGACTGGTTACGACAGGTCTGGTACTTTTCCTCCCTCCTCCTCGGCAGGGCCTCCACATCGTGCAGACAGCTGCTGCCACATTCCACTGCTCCAGAAGCGGAAGTAAGGCTCATTCAGGACCTTTCTGGGTGACTTGACAGCATTTGATATGAGATTAACCAAATGCCAGTGTTGGGGGAAAACCAGCTTTCCCCTGAGTCACCTCCACCCGCCTTTCTCAGGACACAGACACTGAGCTTGAAGACTGCTGGCGTGTGTGATTGGAGGGTGTCAGCCTCTGGCTGTGGGCCCACTGGTGACCTGGTGCACACTGTGTGTTGGGAGCGTAGGTCTGACTGTGCTGCTGAGTGAGCCTGCGGCCCCTGGCCACAGTGTCCTTGGCCATGCCTTGTGCTGGGCATGTGTGGGTCTCTCTGCCTGCCACGCAGGGTGTCTGTCTCCTGATGGAGGATGAGGGACTATTCCAGTTCACCCGGGTGAAGCTGCAGGGTTTTTCCTCAGCTACCATGTGGGGACACAATGAAAGCATTCCAGGAAACCAGAAGGGCTGGGCCAGCCTCTGGATCTTAGAGCTGACAGCTGGGCCGCCAGGGGACTCCTTTCTTCTGTGTCATTTTCTCTGAGCTGTGGGGCACTTTTGGAGCAAACTCCACTTGGTTTTACGACTTAGCCTTCTCACAAGGGAAAAGCCTACTTCTTTTTCTCGGCAGAGTTTAATTTGTCATTCTACTAAGTCCCAAGTTTTCAATTCTACATAGGATGAAGGGACAGAATGGGTTTGGGGAACTTTATCATGTCCCCAAAAGTCACAATATAGGACAAGAGAAATTAACAGAACACCTTGCCCTCTTTTTAACTCAAATTTGTTTTTTCTGTTCTGTTCAGCTGTATGGAAGGATGGGGCATGATAGCATATCTTTGAGGGTACTTCAAGAGAAAAATAACCTAAATGTCAAGAAGCAGACCACAAAGATGCACCCCCCCCAAGCTTTCTTGGTATGCTCCTCCTCCCTCTCCTTAAAAAAAAAAAAAGTCTCCCACACACAGAATCCACAAAAAGGAAAAACCAAAGCCAAGAATCCTTGAATCTGCCTGAGCACCTGCCTCAAGCATCTTCCACACCCTCTCCCCAGACTCCATAACAATGATTTCTATCTCATAGGTCTCTAAAGAGATGACTCGCTGGGTGCCACCTGTAATCCCAGAAACTCAAGAGGCTGTGGCCTGAGGATGACAAGTTTGAGGTCAGCCTCAGCAATTTAGTGAGATGGTTCTTTGTTCCTGTCTCCCAAGCTTCCTGTCCTACTTCAAAGATATTTAACTCCAGACAGCTTGTGCCCACTGATCATATGACTGCCACATTCCACATCTACTGAGATCAAACTGTGGAAAGAATGGGCACACTCCACTTGTTTATATAGGTGGCCAAGACTATGAGCTCTTGAATGGGCACTTTCTGTCATCATACCCCATTAGAAATTGTGTGTGTTGGGGGGGTGGGTAATGGTGGGGACAAGAGACCTTTTCAAGTGAAGAGCATTTCTGGGTGGGGGGAGGTGGCTGCTTCCTATGTGTCAAGTTCTTCAAGATAGCACTACTCAAACCGTGCCCAAATGAAAAAATGATCATAGGCTAAATTAGCAAATTACTTTCCTGGAGATTAGATTCCAGGCAACCTCAAGCAATTCATGTTGGAAAATAGTTTGCTTTAGTTTAAGCCAATTAAACCGAAAGCACAGATTTTAATTCTGAGGGACAGAAAGTAGATTTGGGGTTGCCAGGATTTAGAATTAAGCGGAGCGTGACTGGTAATTGGGGAGATAAAAGTGTTTGATGAGCCAGGTGAGGTGGCACACAACTGTAATCCCAGCAGCTCGGGAGGCTGAGACAGGAGGATCCTGAGTTCAAAGCCAGCCTCAGCAAAAAGCGAGGTGCTAAGCAACTCAATGAGACCCTGTCTCTAAATAAAATACAAAAATAGGTCTGGGAATGTGGCTTAGTGGCCAAGTGCCTCTGAATTCAATCCCTGGTACCCCCCACCCCCCAAAACAAATGTTTAATGGTAGGTTGTGGTGTTGATTGTACAACTCTGAAATTATTAAAAAATCATTGAATTGGCTGGGCATGGTGGTGCATGCCTGTAATCCCAGCTACTCAGAAAGCTGAGGCAGGAAGATGGGAAATTCAAGGTCAGTGTTGGCAATTTAGCAAGGTCCTGTCTCCAAGTTTAAAACAAACCAAACAACAGCCAAAAAAAGGGCTAGAGATGAGGCTCAGTGGTAAAGCATCCCTGGCTTCAATTCCTTGTATCAATAATAAATAAATAAACAAATAAATAAAATAAAAAATTTTTGAGTTGTATGCATTGGGAATTTTATGATATGTGAATTCTACCTCAATAACATTAAAATTTTAACTCTAAAAGAATTACATGATCTCACACACACAAAAAAAAGCTCTAATATTTCATTGATACTAGTAACTTTTGTGTGTGTGTGTGTCTGTGTGTGCATGTGTGTGTGTTACTAGGAATTGAACCCAGGGGCATTTTACCACTGAGCCAAATTTTTGAGACAGAGTCTCACTAAGTTGCCAAGGCTGGCCTCAAACTTAGCTATCCTCCTGCTTCAGCCTCTTGAGTAGCTGGGGTTATAGGCCTGTGCTGCTGTGCCTGATGGTACTAGTAATTTTTTATTGATTGTTTTTAGTGTATTATTGCTAATATTTTAACAGGCTCTCAAGAAGAACACATTAGAGACATTATAGGACTTCAGAGCCCAGGGAAGACATCAACTGGCTCTAAAGCAGACAAACACGGCAGGTGAATGTGAGTCCAGTGTTTTTAATAATATATTTTTTAATTAATTTTTGTACCAGGAAAATTGAACTCAGGGGCACTCAACCACTGAGCCACATCCCCAGCTCTATTCCGTATTTTATTTAGAGACAGGGTCTAAAGCACTGACAGGGTCTAAGCTACTCACTGAGTAGCTTAGCACCTTGCTTTTGCTGAGGCTGGCTTTGAACTCGCTATCCTCCTGCCTCAGCCTCCTAAGCTGCTGGGATCTGTAAAATATTCTTAAAGAATACAAATAAATTCTGTAGCTGCCTTATAGGCCAAGATAAAAAATGTTGTCGGCACCCCTAGAAGCCCTCAGTTCACACCTCCTGCTATGAATTGCATAAGCGTAACAGAAGGCCCATGTATGTTAAAGGCTTTGTCACCAGCCTGTGCTGCTAATAGGAGGTAGTGGAACCCTGGAGAAGTGGGCCCCAGTGGGAGGGAGTTGGATCAGTGGGAGCTTGCCTTGAGGGGGATATCGGGACCACAGCCCTTTCCTTTCTGTGTTTTATTTTCCAGCAGCCAGCAGGTAGGCAGCTCCCTCCACCATGTGCTCCCCACCCTCATGTTCTCCTTGCTGTAGGCTGGAAGTCAAACTATGATGACAGAAACCTCTGAGATCATGAGACAAAATAAAACATTCCTCTTTATAAGTTGATTTGTTTCCGTTATTTTGTCACAGTAATGGAAAGCTGACTGGCACCCCAACATCTGTACCCTATGATAACTTCTTCCCCAGCCCAGAAGGAACCACTCTACTAATGTTTGCCATTATTTCCTTGCTGTTTAAAAATTAGTTTTCCCATTTCTGCATGCATTCTTAAACAATATAGCTTATTTATACGTGTTGATACTTATGTTTAATGAAAAAATATATATATAAAATATATTCAGGTTTTGTTTCTTTTACTTAGTGTTGTGGGTAGATTCGTGTATATTTTTATAGACACACTTATTTTCATTGCTTATGAAAATACAAAAATTTCATTGCCTAAAAGTAATACAATAAAAATACATTTAACTATAGATGTATATTTAAGTTTCTTTTTTTTTTTTTTTTTGGTTGGCGGGGTACTGGGGATTGAACCCAGGGGTGCTTAACCACTGAGCAACATCCCCAGCTCTTTTTATTTTTTATTTTGAGGCAAGGTCTTGTTAAGTTGCTGAGGCTGGCTTTGAACTTGGGATCATTTTACCTCAATTTCCTGAGCTGCTGGGATTATAAGCATGTCCCGCCATGCCTGGCTATATTTAAGTTTCTTAAATAAAAATTACAGGAGGACATTGTTTTGGTCTAAAATCCTTCACTATGTCCCAACAGACCAGTCTAAAAATCAATGGAATTACATTGAAGTTCCACATCATTAAGCTGAAACATCTATTTATCTGTCCTTTTAAGAAATGAGGTTTAGGGGCTGGGGATGTGGCTCAAGCGGTAGCACGCTCGCCTGGCATGCGTGCGGCCCGGGTTCGATCCTCAGCACCACATACAAAGATGTTGTGTCCGCCGAGAATTAAAAAGTAGATATTAAAAAACTCTCTCTCTCTCTCTCTCCCACTCTTTCTTTAAAAAAAAAAAAAAAAGAAATGAGGTTTAGAGCCGGTACAGTGGTGCACATCTATAATCCGAGTGGCTGAGACAGGAGGATCATGACTTCAAAGCCAGCCTCAGCAAAAGATGGGCACTAAGCAACTCAGTGAGACCCTGTCTCTAAATAAAATACAAAATAGGGCTGGGGATGTGGCTCAGTGGTTCAGTGCCCCTGAGTTCAATCCCCAGTACACCCCCCCCCAAAAAAAAAAAAAAGAAAAAGAAAAAAGAAATGGGGTTTAGGAAAAAAAAATTAGGTTTAGAAAGGTAACAGACAAATTTATTTCTCAAACAGGCAGTTTAAATTAGCACCATAATGAAATTCCCTTTGCCTTACTTCTTTCACAAAAAAATAGTAACCTAAAGTAATCCTATGTTAAACAATTATTTTTCTATTGTTCTGTCTTATCTCATCCTTAAAAGGAAAGTAGCTTTAAAATACAAGATTTTTGGGTTGCTTTCTTTAACTCTTTTCTGTCTGAAATGAGCATTCTCTACTCTTGCTCATAGGAACACTTATTCTGCTAAATGGAATGAAGCCTGGCATTAGAATAAAATAATAAAGTCAATTAAAAGCTGAGCATGGTGGCACATGCCTGTCATCCTAGCTACTAGGGAGGCTGAGGCAGGAGGATTGCAAATTCCTGGGGAACTTAGTAAGATCCTGTCCAAAATTTAAAAGGGTTGGGGACGGAGCTCCGTGATATAGCACATTTGATTTCAATCCTCAGTATTGAAAACAAAAACCCTCCAAAAGCCAAACCCAAAACAACAACAACAAAACAACATCCAAGCCAATTAAAAGCTTTAAAATAAACTTCAATTTAGTCCTCTGATGGGCTGTTTCCAGTCATGGGATAGATATTTAAACAATGCTATCATAATCATTCTTGTCCATGCATTCTGGCACACAAGAAAAAGGGATTTTTCCAGGGAATTTCTGAATTGCAGGTTGGGAATTTCTTCATAATGCCAAATAATTTTCAAAAAAAATGCTTGTATCAATTTATATTCCCAAAAGAGGGAATGAGAATTTCTATTATTCCACTTCTTTCTAAAAAACTTTCACCGCTTTTTATTTTTTGAGACAAGGTCTTGCTAAGTTACTTAGGGTTGGCCTTGAACTTTCGATCCTCCTGCCTCAGTCTTTCAAGTCACTGGGATTACAGACGTGTGTCACAGTGCCCAACCCCCTTTCTCAACTTTTGACATTGTTACATTTTATAATTTTTATTAGCCAAGTATATATATAATGATATCTCACTGTGGTTTTAACTTACTTAATTTGAATTACTAATGGGATAGTTACCTTTTTTTTTTTTTTCTTTTTAACAGTTTCTGGACATTTTGATTTCCTCTTCTGTGAAGGATCAAGTTTGAAGCAAATGTGGGACTTGTTTTTTAAAAAATTTCATATTCCTTGTATTTTATTTCAGAAACCTTTTCTTAACCCTTTATCATTTTTGGAAACTTTATTGTTGGCTTTTTATATTTGAGTCTTAAACTCAACTAGAATTGATTATGTGGGATAGAGTAAAAGGTTGTGATGGTTCATTTTATGTGTCTACTTGACTGGGCCATGTGGCACCCAGACATTTGGTCAAACATTCTGGGTGTGTCTTTGAGGATGTTTCTGAAGTGAGTAACAGTTGAATCAGTGGACTGAGTGAAGCTGACATGTGAGTGGGTTTCCTTCAACCAGTCGAACACATGAGTAGAATGAAAGGGCCAGGTCTGAGGGCACTCCTGAATGATGGGTGGAGGTGGGACATCCATTTCTCTGGTCTTCAGACTGAGCCTGAAGCATTTGATCTTCTTGGGTCTTGAGCCTACAGGCCAGCAGACTCAAACTATGCCCTCTGCTCTCCTGTTTCTCAGGCTACGATTGCAGATCGGAACTACGTGTTATGGTTTGAGGATGTGATATGCTCCCCAAAGACCATATGCCAAAGGTTTGGTCCCCAGACTGTGGTGCTATGAGGAGGTGGGACCTAGATGAAGAAAGGAGGTTACTTCAGGAGCGCTTTGAAGGGGACATTTTGTCTCTGCCTTTTTCTCTCTCTTTGCTTCTCTTTCCTGGACATCCTGAGGAGAGCAGCTCTGTTCCACCATGTGGTCACTGCCATCATGTTCTGTCTTGTCAAAGGCCCAAAGCTACAAAGTCAAGTGACCACGCACTGACACCTCTGAATTTGTGAGCCAAGATAAATCTTTCTTCCTTTCAGTTGATTTTCTCATGCATTTTGTTACAGTGATAGAAAGCTGATGAATTCACTACATATTGACCATCCTGAGTTCCTCACTTGCTGGCTGTAGATATTAAACTTCTCTGCCTACATAATTGTTCCAGCCAATTATTTATAATAAATGAATCTTTCTCTCTCTCTCTTTCTTTCTTTTCTCTCTCCCTCTTTCTTTCTTTTCCCCTCTTTCTTTTTCTCTGTCTTCTATTATTTCGGTTCCTCTGGAGAACCCTAATACAAAGGCGTAGAACAATTTTATTTTTTCTAAATAAATACCCCTTTGTGCCAGCACCATCTACTATAATATTGTCCCTTCCCCACTGATCTCAAACCTGCCTCTCAAGCTTCCGTATGTGCATGGGACTATTTTTGTGCTCTCTAGTCTGTTCTATTGGGCCACTGCCCTGTCCCTGTGTCCACACCACATGTCTCATTACTATAGGCTAATTATAAGTCTTGGTGCTTGATGAGGAAAATAGTCTCCTCTTGCCCTTTTTTAAAAGAGTGTCTTGGCTATATATTGCACTTTGGAAATACTTAACAAGACTGTCAGGATTTTTTTTTTGAGATTGCATTGAATTTATAGATCAATTTGAAGCAAACTGACATTTTTACAATTTGTGATTTTGAGTTTTCATATCCATAAATAAGATATAGCTTTTCATTTATTTATTTCTTCTTTAATGTTTCTCGATAAAGTTCTAAAATTTTCTCCAGAGAAGTCTTCCTGATGCTTATTATATTTGGTTTTACATACTTCATAAAAAACTTTTCTTATTTAATCTTGTATTTGTTGTTGGTAAATATAAGTTATAACTATTTTTTTAAAAAATAATTGCATACTAGAAACCTTTCTAAAATTTCAAACAAATCTTAATTTATCAATAGTTTACTTGGCACTTACATGTAGACCATTATATCATCTCTGAAGAATGTCAACTTTATTCCCTTTTTTGGCAATTAAGACATATCTGAAAGTCTTTGGTGGCCTTCCCTTTAAGAGATGAGGACCAAGGACCCTCTCCATCAATGTGGATAATGCTTAGGGACTTGTCTGTAATCAACAGGATGCATGGAGGGGATTCTGAGTCAGGAAAGGCTTCTGCCTGGTTCTGCTGGGAGCCTGTTTTGAGAGAAGACAGTTACCATGTTTGCCATCTACTGCTGGGGGCTGCAGGAAGCTCAGTGATAGAGTAAATATGCAGATGTGTGAGGCTCTAGGTTCAGTCTCATGGTGGGTGGGGTCTTGTGTTATGGTTTGGATGTGGTTTGCCACCAGAGGTTCATGTGTTAGAAGCTGCATCCCTAGCTTCCCAGTGTGCCTAGGTTAAGAGGTGGTGGAACCCTTAAAAGGCAGGACCTGGTGATAAGTCCTCAGTTCATGGAGGATGCTGTTCTTAGAAGAGATTAAGATAGCTTTCATTGGACTTTTTTCTCATAAGAAGGAAGTTATAAAAGGATATTCCTGGTTACTCCCTAGGCTGTTTGGCTTCCTGTCTGGCAATGTAATCTCTCCCTCTTGCATATGTTCCCACCACTGTGATGCCATCTGTCTTGAGGTGATAGAGTTAGGGGGTCCTTGCCAGAGTTGCCACTATCATATTTAGACTTTCAGCTTTTAAAACTGTGAGCTAAACAAACCTCTTTTCTCTCTAAGTTACCCAGCATCAGATATTTCATTACAATAATGGAAAATTGACTAATACAACTACTCTGTGAGCCAACCACCAGAGAAGAAAATTACCTTGATATTGCCACGCTGTAGAGTCCATATATAGGAGTTCTGGTCCATAGCTCCAACTGAACTCTCACCGAACAGCCAGCATCCTCTGGCAGCCATGTGAGGGGGCGATTCTAGGGGGTGATCCTAGACATGTAGCTCAACTGAGTCTTCAAATGACTATAGCCCCAGGCAAAGTATGAATGTTTATGCATAAGACACCCCACGGGAGATCTTCCTTGATAAACCTTTAGCTGACTGACCCACAGGGTTGTGAGCAAAATAAAATTGTAGTTTCAGGGTGCTAAGATTTAAGGCAACTTATAATGCAGAAATAGAAACTAGAACACTTTCTAATCCTTACTGTTTGAAAGTGGGAGGAGGAGGAGGATCAGAACTGACTTTGAGTGAACATTCAGTACACCTTTGCTGTTTCAGGTCACTGAGATTTTGGTTTTGTTATTATAGCATAACCTATTTATTCAGACTTATACACATGGTATATGTTTTCTCTTTTTTGGCTTTCTGCTGGGAGCCATTAGCCAAGTAGGTATGACAATTTCCTTGCCAGCGTACCCCATGTTGCTGACATGTTGCAGTGACATTGAATGTAAGTGACCTTGCTCAAGGACCAAGGCAGATTAGGGTGTTCCCGGTTTTAAGATAATCGTGTTTAGGGCGTTCCCAGTTTAGGTTCCAGGTTTAAGGTTTAAGATTATTCCTGCTGGGAATAGGGCGTATCCTGCTGCCTGAGTTCCCCTTGAGTTCTCACGGGATTCAGACAATATATTTTGGAGATAGAAGCCCAGTGGAGGTGAATTTGGGCAGAGAACGAGAATTTGGGCAGAGAACGTGGATTTGGGCAGAGAACATGGATTTCCCCAGAACGTGATTGTAGACGGCTGGTGTGAGTTCGGGAATAAAGAGTTGCTGTTTGAATCTACAAGCTGTGTGGTGGCTCGTGATTGTGTGCCCAGCCAGACTGCGGCATTTGTGCCCAGCCAGACTGTGGCATTTGGTGGCCCGTACGGGGAACTTCTGAAGCTTAGAGGTAAGTGAAATTTCTCACCCTTGAGGAAGAGAGAAAGAATGGGTGAACATTTCAAAAAACAATGTGTTATTGTTTTGATTTATTTTATTTTTATTTCAAGTTGCCTGTTCCTAGAACTTTCTCAGGCAAACTGGGGAAAATGGTTGACTCAAGGTTTGAAGTTGTTCGCCTCCGAGGAAGAGAAATTGTTAGAGAAAGGAGGCACCCCAGTAAGACCAAGAACAGTTAAGGCATATGTTCGAGGAAGAGAAATTGTTAGAGAAAGGAGGCACCCCAGTAAGACCAAGAACAGTTAAGGCATATGTTGATAAAATACAAAAATGTAGCAAATGGCTTTTTAAAGATGAGTTATTAAGTATATTAATGAGACCATCATGGTATCCTGTAGAAGGATTTTTCTTCAACAAGAAAGAGATGGCTAGTTCTGTTTACTACATTTGTCTAAGATCTTGGTTTTTACAGACATCTGATTAATTTACAAAGCTAAAGTGTTAAAATATCAACCACTAAATATAAAATCAAGTACTCTTACTTATTAAGTTCCATAAGGTAATATATTTAAACATTATGTGTGTTTTCATAAATTGGTAAATGGAAAAAGGTTTAATATTGCTTTGTGTCTGTGTCTTTGCTAAAACAAGGTTACTAAGTGTTAAGATTCTATCATGTGTAATTTATATACAAAGAGTAAAAAAAATTTCAGTTGGGTTTCAATTATAGTATTATAGTATCATAAAAAACATGAAAGTCTTTCATTTTATTAAAGTGGAGTAATTTGTCTAAATCAGAAATTTTATAAGAGTTGTTTCAAAATGTGAATTTATAAAAAGGGTTAACGGTTAAAAAAGAGATAGAAAAAGATTCAAGATGTGGAAATATATTTTAATATAAAAGGTTAAAGGAAAAATAAATGTTTCTAGATGAGATAATCTCTGTGTGGTAAAGTAAAAAGTTGTAAAATGCCATTTAAAAAGATTTTGAGGAAACTAGACTTACTTTAAAAGCTTGAGAAAGGAATAAAGAAGAAAAAGGTATTTGTACATGGCAGATTGAGACAAAGCTTCTCAATGGAGTTAAAAAAAAAAGCCTTTGGTTGAAGGGCAGCCATGTAAACTAACATTAAAGCGATTTAAACAGAATCTAAGCCTTGTTTAAAAGAGTGAAGCTGTAGGTGGTGAAAAAGTACATTTAAAAGTACAGTATAGATGATAATTAAAAGGCTTTAAAAGGTTAAATTGAAGGTGGTCGAGATACCTTCATGGCGGAAAAAAGATTGCTTTATTGCATCATTCGAAGCCTAGTTAATCTTAAAGGCATTACTTTAAAAAAATGGGAAGATAATAGGATAAAAGATATTTAGATAAAGAAGATTAAAAATTTAAAGTGAAAAACTTTAAAGACAGAAGTATAGAAAGTTAAAAAGAAAAAAGATAAAGAAGATGTAGAAAGATAAAAAAGATGTAGGAAGACAAAAATTTTAAACCCACAAAATAGGAAGAAAAAAAAAAGACTAGGAGGAAAAAAAGCAACTAAGGGTGAATGTACAAACCTTAGGGGGAAAAAAAACTAGAAGATAGAAACAAGATAAAAATGGTTAAATATGTCAAGTAAAGGTATTTCAGATAGAAAATACAAAAAGCTGAGACAACTATTAGATACAGAAATTCAAGATAGAAAAAGGTAGAAGAGAGAAGTTTAAAGTCAAATATTGGATAAAATAGAAGAACAAGGAGATTATTAGTAATTTTTTCAAAAAGCCCATCAACTTTAATTTCTGGTGGTGCAGATATTAGAAGTCTCAGATGAGGGTGTTAAAATTTATAGACAAAAGCCAATTTAGAAAACGTTAAACTAGAAGGAAATTGGTTTAAAACCACATCAAAAAATTAAAAGGACTAAAATAATTCTAAAAACTAAGGCAGAATGCTTTTGAAAGACTTAAATTTAAAAGGATCTTTAAGGAGTATATATCCCCCAAAGATAAACTTAAAATAACGCTTTTTACTCTAAACTTTTAAAATTTGGATTCATCAGGACTTAGTGCTGCGGAAAGACATATGTATCCAAAAAATGTACATAAGCCTAAGGTACTTTGGAAAGATTCTAACAGGACAATGGAAAGGTCCTGACCCAGTGATTGTCTGGAGTCGGGGGTCTGTTTGTGTTTTTCCACAGGGAGAACAGCAGCCGATTTGGATTCCAGAGAGATTAACTAAAACAATTTCTACAGATCGAAAAGAATATGATTTGACTCAAATCCATAACAGCTGATATCCAGAACTCCAGCTTGGCCATTCTTATATCTGCGACAGTGATTAACCAGGATGCTTTTTTCAATAGCTATTTTATTATTGCATTTTTCCACATCATAAGGTTCTATTTTTATTTTTTGAGCTCATACAAACCTAGGTTAATGTTTTTCTGATCAGTTTTATTTTTTGACTGTGGAGTTTTTAAACATTGCAATGGAGATTTCACCTAGGTAAAGCTACAAGGCCTTTACTATTTTCTTATGTGTTGTACGTTTGTGTACACTCTTGTGTTTTGTGTTGTATGTCTGTATGTGCGTATGTCCATATTTCTTATATGAGGAGCGCTCATGAAAAAATGGATCCGAATTATTATTTTTTTACTCACGTGATTTAAATGGTTTAATTTAAATTATGTAAACAGCTGTTAAGGATTGTTTTTAAAGGTGGTTAACAGATCTGTTTGTTTACTAATTTAAATTAGGTAAACAGCTGTTAAGGATTGTTTTTAAAGTAGGTTAACAGATCTGTTTGTTTACTTTCACCTTTCCTTTTCATTATATTTAATAATTCTTTTCAGG